TGATGCCCTACATTTTCTTATTGGGAAGGGTAGGATTGGGGAATTATAAGAGTATCGATCACATACCATATTCTTTTCTTTCAATTAGACATTATGGCTCTTGATTCCTTGACCTTCTAGTTGGATGTCCTACCTTGATATTTGCTTGCGCGCCGAATCAGATGATGCTTTTAATTTTTTTTCTGTAATGGTAAATTTACATGCATCATAAAAAATATGGAAAAAGAAAAGTTACAGCAATCTAAAACCTGCCTAATGTAGAATGCATAAATAATGGGTGGAAAAAAGAAACCAAACAAAAAAAAATTCTTAATCGTAACGTACAATGCAACAGTGTAATGGAAATGTTTAATCGTGTTAATTAAAATGACAAATTGAAATACTTCGATTTACAATAATTTTGATTTCTTTTATGTTATACATGTTTCTTTTAAATTTTTGGTTGTTAGGGGGGAAGGATGTTGTTTTTGTTCTGTATTTGGGTACTCATTTAACAAGAAAACATACTCCCAACACAATTGGCAATAAATTCCTATTTGTGCATGCTTTGACAGTTGTGGGATAAATATTATTTCTGACAGATTATGTGTTTGTTTTTGGTGGTTATAAAATATAACGTACTAATTAATGCAGAGTCAATTTGATTAAAGTATTATGAACTGAATTTTCTTTTCCTTCAAAAGCATGGCAAATGATGCTTCAAAAAGTCTGAGTCTGAAGGTCCTGGTGGATGAAGAGAAGAATCGAGTTGTTTATGCCGAGTCAGATAATGATTTCATGGATGTTCTCTTAAGCTTCATTACAATTCCTATCGGAACCATTATCAGACTCACCCATGAACAAGCATGGAAATGGGAGATTGGTTGCCTGAACAACTTAAATAAAAGTATTGAGAATCTCGACAATAAACATCTGCAGAGTGAGAAGTGCAAGGACATGCTGCTATATCCTCAGAGTGCTACTGAAATTTACTGCAAGAACCTTAAACTAAATTATGTTAATAGTACTATTAATGAGTACTTTCATGTAATATCATGACCAAATTATTGACCTTAATTATCATGTTCCTAGTCTCGGCTTTTGAGATCGGCTTGTTTATCATTAATTTGGTGTTTTCTAGCATTCTATTTCTTTTTTGATTTTTATATATGTATATATAGACGCCTAGTATATACTTCCATCCCATCACCATATCGCCCCACCATTCTTCGAAAACCCAACACTGCCAAATAAGAAAAAAATTACCAAGAGTGGGCTAAAAAAAGTAGGCCTCACACTGCCTCAAGGTTTAAAAGCCCAACTACGACCACCACACTACTACACAAGCTGTCCACAAGGCCTATAAGGCCCAAAAAATGCATTAACAATTAACATCACAAATTTAGTTTAATTTAGTTTAATTTAGTTATTTTTTTTTTCTTTCTTGTGATCAAATTTGAGGTACAGAGAATGAAACTAAAAAATTTCGATTAACATCACAAAACTATTAGTGTAGAAGTTTTTTAGTAGAGAGGATGCTACAACTAATTTTCACCTGAACTTTTTGATTGTAAGATTATGTTCATGCAGTAATAATCTTTGAGTAGTGCTATTGCGACTCTTGTAAAAAGTCTAAAAAGCTCAGGCTTATAAGTCACACAATTCCTATTTTTAGGTATTTGGTAGAGAGAATTAATTAAGAAAGAATCTTCGCAATAAAAGGAAACAAATCAAACTTTTTTCTCTCTCTTCTCTCACCCTCAACAAATCTGTCTCTTTCTCTCCCGTAAGTTATACTTCATACTTCATCTATCATGTCCGTGATACTATTTCATTCTATTTGAGATTTTATTTATTTATTTATTTGATCGCGTTTTTGAGCTTTGGAATACCCTCGTCACAAAAAATTTAAGTGTTGTTTAATTATATTTTGATTTTTTTTGTTTTCATTTTTTTGAGCTTTAGAATAGCCTCATCTTAAAAAATTTATATCTTCAAGCTAAGAGACAGAAATAGGAAGATTGGTTGAAGGTAAACCAAGAGAGAAAAAGAGAGAACGCGGAGAGAAGAGAGAAAAAAAACTTGACTTGTTTCCTTAATTAATTTTTCTCTCCCAAATCCCTAAAAATAAGAATTATGTAGCTTATAGGCGCGAGCACGATCTTTAGCATGCATATTCGTATTTACTTTCTCTTTTCAATGTGGATTCAAAAACAGGAAAGAAAAATAAAGAAAGAAAAATGAAAAACGAGTCAAAAAGTGCTAGATAAAAATCATGAAAGATCTTTAATGTTTATTTTTTTTTCCAAAAAAGTTTCAAATTGCAAATATACTATTTATTACAAGAGTATCTAAATCTAATCTTCTATGTAATGCAATAATGGGAGTCTTAGGTAAAACATTTATTGGGAATTGATTATTTAAATAAAATTCAAAATTTTTTAACAAGATGGTAATGTATCACACGGGACTTGTGCTCACAAGGGTGGTTGCGTATGGAATGCCCACACGTGTGAGGGATCTTTTTTAGTACTTTATTGTTTATGAGCATGAGAACGCAACAGGGAGAACAGCGTGAGGGAGCTAGATGTTAATTCCCGCCAGAGATGGTGGTTACTTTAATTTTTGCTGGAGATGATGGGTTTGGGAGTGTGTGTTGAGCGGTTGATAGCACCAGAGCGAGAAGGGGAGAGAGAAGAAATCCTGAGAGATAATTCGAATTAACTTTTTGGCTTCCCAATTTAGACCTTAAACAAATAAATAAATAAATAAATCTGCAGGCCACGTTTGTTTCGGACGATAAGTTGGCAAAATAGATGGAAACATTTATCATTTCTCATATGGAGCTGGTGCATGCGGTCGTACATTGTAGTGGATCCGGACTCAATTCAAAGATTGAGGGCAATATAACTTGAGCTTGGAAGTTGTGAGGGCCTAGAAAAAATAGAAGGGAATTTAAAATAAATATATTTGCATTGGAAATAGAGATTACAACCGAGAAACATAAAAGAAGGAAATGAAGAGTCTGACTTTCTAGCTTCCAATCTCTCTATACTATATAAAACAATCATCTTCTGCTACTTACATATGCTTTTCCTTTTCAGTCCCTTTTCTATAACATAAATTGTCCCATTGATCCTCAAATTAATATACAAGAAATTGCAATCTGTGTTTGTCTTGATCAGGTTTCATATTTCAGTTCACAAATGTTAACTCTACCCTTCTTGATTTTCTTTATCTTAGTTTATTATATATTTTGAGGTATTGTGATTATTCTTGTGTTACTTTTGAACTGAATTTTGTAAAGAAAACTGATATCTACTTAGCTGCTAATTCTTCTTTTTTTTTTTTTTTCCTTCCCTTTTTTTCTCCTTTCAAAGCAATGGCAAATGAAGCTTCGCAAAGCCTAAGCCAATCGCAATCCATGGCACAACAAGCTCCAGCATGGGATGTCCTTATCGGAAACGAACTTGATGCTTATAATATCTTTGTAACAGGAAGCACTCCAGAATCCACTGCTGATACGATTGAGCAAGTTGCTCCTGCAATGACTCCGGAAGTTGCTAGATCTTTTGGTTATGCATGTATTCTGGCTGCTAAAGGCGGACGAAAATTGTTTGACGATTTCATTAAGACTCGAACATGATTAATTATAACCTACAAATTACTTAATACTCAAAGTACCATCTGATTTTCTATTTAGAAGATGGTGTCATCGAGTCTAGTTTACATCCACTTATGTCTTGCTTTTAAACTTTTTGACTCTCTTCGTTTGAACACTTTCACTTTTGGTTGTACCAATAACCCATCTCAATGGCATCCTTTAGAGACCTTAAAGGGCAAGTAAAGTATCAGTCTAAAAAGAAAATAAAAGTTGAGAGAAAAATCAAAATTCTCAAAATTATTTTAATTTATAGATAGAGGATAATTCAATTCGAGTTCAATAATTATTTAGTTAAGAGTACGTTTGGATTAATGAGAGGATTTGATAAGTACATATTTGGGCACTTTAGACCTCATTTTTTTTTATTATTTGAGTAACACCCTCACACCTTAGTAAAATTTATCTATATGTATATATATCCCTTAAAGAATGTTATAGCGCATATCACACTCTTCACGTACAAAAAAACTCTTAAAGTTTTAATTTGGTACAAAAAGGTTCTTCTGACAAATTTAAATCATAAGTTGACTAAATTATCCTTATTGAATTATTTTATAAAATATATAAAAATAAATAATTTTATAAAATGATTGCAAAGGACATTATTGGAGACGCCCTTCACGTGCAAAAACACTCCTTAAGTTTCAATTTCATGCAAATAGGTCTATTTAAAAAGTTTAAACTATAAGTTTATTAAATTACAATTGGTGAATCATATTAAAAATGATCGAAAATGACACTATTAGATGACGCCGACAATGGACAAGTAAAGATAAAAAATAGAAAATAAAAATAAAAGTATAAAAGAAAAGAAAAGTAAAGATAAAAATAATAAATAATAAATAATAAATAATAAAAAACTAAAATAAAGTGTAAACTAAGAAAACAAATATGCTACAAACTCCAAAAACTAATGAACATTGATATTGGGATTTGTTTACTTTTTTATTTTATTTATTTATATATTTTTTTTTAACCGTGTGGATATGGAAATAAAATAAAATAAAGAAAAAAAATAGTAGAAAATAGTAAACTAAAATCTCAAAAAATTCAAATCGTTGTTCTACAAATTCTCAAAGTTTCAAAAAAAAAAAAAAAAAAGTTTAGGGATATATATATATATATATAGAAAAAAAAAAGTTTAAATATATATAAATATATATATATATATAAGGTAATGTGCACTTAACATCAATATATTATGAGATTAGTAACATATATATCCCATTGAGTATTTTTTAAAAAGTAAAAAGGTAAAACGGGTATTACAACACTAATTTATGTAAAATAAAGTATTTTTACCCAATATGAAAAGATTAAAAGTGTTTTTATACACTTTTTCAAATAAAGGGATAAAATTACTGCGCAAAATATACTTTAACGTGTTTTCTGCCCTTCTCCCCTCTCTCTCACTCTCTCTCTCTCTCTCTCTATATATATATATATATGGGTAAGTTTTTGCCAATAATGATAATAATAAAAATAAGTATATCACCAAGGACCCATCTATTTTTAATCGATGGAGAGAGAGGACAAAAAAAAAAAAAAAAAAATTATCTGACTCAGATTCTAACACCCAATCACTTCTGCTGCGTTTTACTTTATGCATATAAGCTTTCCCTTTTAAAACCCATTTATAAATCATCCCTACTTCACCCCTTCTCTCCAAGCATCAACAAACCCCGTATTCAGATATTTGAGGCTGTGTTATTCTTGCTTGATCAGTTCAGGTACCATGGATCTCTGCCATTATTGACTGTATAATTGTTTTGTTCACCCTGTTACTTATTTAATTTTCTTCATTTATTGTATATTTTGAAGTGGTGCAGTTACTGTTATTTTATTATATATTTTTTGTTCACTCCTTATATGGTTTTTATTTGATGTTGAAAGGGCAGAGCTGATGTTTATTTACGTGTATACATAGTCACTAAAAGAGCTTGCCAATAAGTGAAATTGTTGTTGCTAAATGATAAATTTTTTTGCTTGCAATTTTTTGTTTTCTGTTGTTGTTTGTTTTCCTAATTAATGGACCTAAACCATATTTTCCTCTCACAAGATGGGCCTTGACCGGTTCAGCAGCCAAATTACTGCTCAGGATTCTTCAATTTTCTCTTGAAATTACTAATATGTTCTCATACCTATTACGGACTTTTACAATTACATTATTATGTAATTGACACTATTCCGGTAACTGGAAGTTTGATTATTGGCAATCTGTTCTGATAAATTTTGGTGGAAATATATATATATATATATATATATATAGTCAAATGAAAATAATCACAACCAAAAAAAAAGATAAGAATAGCTTACAATTGTTATATAATCACATTATATATTCTTCTTTTTTTTCAACAAAACTTTGGGGCCTTGATTCTTTGACCTTCTAATTGGATGGCCTGCCTTAATATTTGCTTGAGCTCCGAGTCAGATGATTCTTTAGATATTTTCTACAGTGGAAAATGTACACGCTTCATCCAAAATACGGAAAAAGAAAAGTTGCAATAATCCAACACCTGCCTAATGTTGAATGCGTAAATAATAGGTGGCTAAAAGACACCAAACAAAAACTTTTCTTTTTTTTAATGTACTATGCAACAGGATAGTGGTAATTTTTAGTTGTATTACTTAAAATGAGAAATTGAAATATTTTGATATATACGTTAGGAGGGATTGTTGTTTCTATTCTATATTGGGGTATTCATTTCCAATGTGCCAGTAAATTCCTAACCCAATGCATGTTTTGACAATTGTGTGATAAAATATTATGTGTTAATTAATGCAGAGTGCATTTGCTTGAAGTATTAACTGAATTGTCCCAAGGAAACTGATATCTACTTAGTTGACAATTATTATTTTTCTCTCTTTAAAGCAATGGCAGATGAAGCTTCACAAAGTCTAAGTCTGAAGGTCCTGGTGGATGAAGAGACTAATCGAGTTGTTTTTGCCGAGTCCGATAATGATTTTGTTGATGTTCTCTTCAGCTTCATGACTATTCCTATTGGAACCATTATTAGACGCGCCCATGAACAAGCATCAAAATGGGAGATTGGCTGCATGAACAACTTATATGAAAGTACTGAGAATCTTCACAATACACATCTGCAAAGTGTGGAGTGCAAGGACATGCTGCTACGTCCTCGGAGTGCTGCTGAAATTTATTGCAGAAACCTAAAAATAAATCTTGTTAATAGTATTACTAATGAGTACTATGGATGCGGACATGGGACAACACAATGCACTTTGTTTCCTTATCGAGTTGCTCATTGCCATTGTGGATGCCCCCATAAATTATACGGTGACTCTGAAAAATAGTACCTCTGTTCCTCCAGTTGGAGGGGTTTTTGTGAAACCCACCTCTCGCTTCATGATAACTGATGACTTTCAAGTATTGCCCTTGTCCACTATGACTTTCTTAACCTTGCTTAAAGAGCTTGGAGCTGTGGATGGAAGCACAATAAAAGAGAGGTGCATAAACATAGGCAAGGATGAGGTAATTAACAAGTTGATGGAATGTTATTTTTCTTTTTGTCTACATGTAAAATATCAAAATGGGATGGTCTTTCTTTCAGGTTCTGAAGTTGCTCAAGGCTTCCCTGACATCTATGGCACCTTTTTCTGAGACTGTCTTGGAAACAGAAGTCAATAAAACCAGTGTTGCAATTCGTCGTGAAGAATTTAGTGCAAGAACCACAAATGAATCTCAAAGGGCTATGGACACATCAAGCAACGAGGCAAAGATAGCTTTGAAGCTTATCATCAACAAATGTAACAACAGGGCATTGTATGTTGAGCCAGGGAAGATTTTGTTAATCTCATCAGCAGTTTTCTCACCTTTCCACTTGGTTATGTATTTAAAGAATTTCCAAGTTTGTCATTGAGGGGATGCTTGGCTAACTTATACAATAGCATCCAGGCACTTGATGTTGACGAATTCCTGAAATCTGAGGAAATGAAGGAACTTTAATCAATCCAAAGCTGGCTCCTGGAATAGCTTGCAATAAGCAGCTCGTCCCCATTGAGGAAGCTTTATATCCGTCGTGGTCAACCATTGATTCTCTTTTTGAAAGAAATTATTCTAATTTAGAAGTAGCTTCAACTGGCGAGAGATTCATGAAAGGACCGTCAAAGTACATGGTGACGGACAATTTGACCATAACACCTTTATCTCTAGCCTCTGGCTTATCTCTTATTAACAAATTTAATATTCCCATAAGTGACATTGTAGAACGAGAATTAACCATTGGTGAGGAGGAGGTAAATTAACTCCCCTGGGTTCAACACTTTTTTCTAGCAATCTGTGTACGTTCAAGATTAACTACTTGCTGAAAATTTTAATATACATATATTTTATTTTGCAGGCTTTGCGTCTACTAGAGGCTGCTTTGGTATCGAGATCTGCTCTGACTGATACTTTCATACTGAAGGAGCCAAAACAAGAACCAAAAGGTAAAATCAATCATCTTGATGCATGAACAGAAATTGGCACAGTTTCTGTTGTTATGAGTGGAATTACCATTAGTACTAGCAGCTGACGCATCCTGTGTTGGATATTTATTTTCTCTTGGTTAATTTGTGTTCGATTGAGATTTATCGTAATTGCCTACTACTGATTACTGTTTGTGTAAAGAAGATTGTGCAACTTGAAGATTTTACTTTTCTTTTTAAACAGTGTCTAATGTCCTAAATTTAGTGATTTTCTTGGGTGAGTACGAGATGTCTAGATTGTACAGCACAAAAATAAGAGACTGCATCAATCAATATATGTTATTTGGTTGGGTAGGTAATTTTACATTGATTTTGGATAAAACTTCACTATATATTGTTAATGAGTTATTGTTTTCTTTTCTTATCTTCAAAGCAAGAAGTAATTTTGTTTTTTTATGTTACATTTTGGACTTGTGAAGCTACAAATCTTGCAACAGAACTTTGTCTGGGGTAATTTATGTTTAATGATTATTATGTTGTTGTCTTACTACCTATATGCTCTTCGTGCTAGTGGCTTATGAATTTTTCGATCTAATTTTGTTTTCAACTTAATTGTTTCTTGCAGGCAGAGTCCAGCAGTTTCCAAAGAAAGATTGAAGGTCCGTGGCAAGTGAAATTTGAGCTTGAAATCCAATGTCTCTTGGTGGTGGTAGTTTTTGGTTAATTATGAGCCAGCTTTCTTGAACTTGGTATATGATACATGTATGTGGTATTAGCTAGCTCTTGTAGGACTTTTGTTCGAGCTTGGCTAATGGCTACATGTTGATGGTAGTTGATGACGTATTTTGAACTGCTAATTAATTATATATTTGGATAGTGTTTGGTTGTTTTGGTGAATTGATTATGTTTGAAGAATATTGGGATCATGTTGAATTTTGCTGCCAAATATTTTAAACTTGAATAATGTTTGAAGAAAATAATGTTTTGAGAAGTGAGTGGATGTTGTGGTGCCAGGATGGAAGAATAACAAAGAAAGGCCAGTAATATATATATCTATTTATATATATATATATATATTACCTTTGAATTGAGATATTAAAAAAAAAAAAAAAAAATAGTTTGACCCCAAACAGAGCAGATATGCTAATCTGAAGCTTTGTTGTTTAACAGGGGGCGAATTTATAGGTATAAGTGCAACTAAGGTTGTTTAAATTGGACAAAATCACTTAAGAATCCTTATCAATTAATTTTTTTTTTTTAATTTAAATGTGAAATAAAAAGGATATTTAAATGACCATTTAGCCCTTGCATTTTTCTTTAACGTTTAGGTGTATATAGCGCACAACTAAATGTAATACTATCATCCTATCTCCAAGACCATATGTTACGCCCGGAATTTCGAAACTCTAATAGTGCTAAAATAAGAAAAAATTAAATTAACCAGCCCTGAAAACTAAACCAATTTTTATTTTTATTTTTATTTTTATTGACATATCATGGTAAGATACTTTAATTATACAAACAAAAGTTTGCTTCTCTTTTACCTAAGAGCTCACAAGTATAACATGACTCATTTACCTGGTCATGTGTCAATTTATTTACGTTGTCATCTATGCTTGGTAATAATGTTCTTGTACAAACATAATTGTAGAGATATTTTATCCAAGATACATGGAGCCTCACTCATGATTCCTTACCCATAAATTATCTCAAGAGCTTGAACTAACAACCCATGTACAGATGGTCAATAGTTTTAGACCAAGAGTACATACATACATACATACATACATATAGTTTACTGGGCACTAACTAGTGCACAAAGAATCTATACCCCTTATTACATTACTAGAGACCTAGGAGCTATCCTCAACCAAATAAAATAATGACCATGTTAATGATTCACATAAATTTTAAATAAGTAGCAGCGAATTAATCAAATGTTACCCCAAATGAAATATTAGAATAGAACATCCTTGAACCTAGATAAAATATATAACATTTATTGAATTGAATTTATTAGTACCTAACCTTCTATATTTTTGCAATTACATGTTTAACTAGAATAACAAAATCAAACATGTGTCCAAATTATGAATTAAAGTTTAATTCTTCTAACTTTCCAAATAAACTCTCAACAGATAAGCAAAATTAATAAAGTTGCAACTACCAAGCATCTTCTCAAAGTTTAATTGATTCTCGTATCATCACCCTCATCTGCAAAACTGTTGGGGACCAATAGTATATGAGATGCCCCAACCAAGCAACATAAAAGGAAGCATGATATCAACATAAAATATTATACATGAGCATGTGGATATATCAACTATGCAAATAGCACATTTTATCTGTATAGAACAAAGATAAAAAATACCATCATCCAAATAATACTGAATAAGGAATACCACAACACTTACAAAATAAATCACTTTTTAAGCAATTTTATCCCAATCATGTCTTAATTAAATAAATTCTGGGCATTGTCCGTAATTCTGTGCACTTAACATTACAAGTCACGTAACATTTACTCGGTTCACGGGCTACTAACCCATTAAATATGACTACCAGTTGGACAAATTTAAGATTTTTCACCTAATGACATTGTACCCTATCTTGCTTTTCTGACACAACGTCGTCCACCATTCAATTACTCTCAAACCCAATTCCACACATCCATCACCAAGTGTGTTCAAATATAAAATCAGTATTTAAAACTCCACACATCATTCAACATTGTCTATTCATATTCATGATATGTGGCAATTAACAATATATTCTCAATTAACACACAAATTAAATCACAAAATAATCTCACTTTAAAACAATCCAACAATACTAGGATCCAAACATGTATATGAACAATAATTAAAATCTTTCACTACATATATATATAACATGATACTCAATATATTATGAGGAAGAACAAATCATATAATTACGGGTTATTAAAGTTAGTATATCATTTCCTTAATATAAATTAAAGAAAAAAAGTAAAACTCTTATAGATTAACCAACCACGAATTGGTAGTCTAATAGTGTCAAATTGTAGAGCACGTCAGAGCAACTTTAGTTCTTGAATTGTCGACAAAATCTAAGCCTTCAAATCTTGAGAAAAGATTGAACGAAAAAAAAAAAAAAAAATCTAGGGTTTTATTTATTTATTTTTTCCTCTCATTCTCTGCCTCTTACATTTTCTGTTTCTCTCTCTTTTAATTTTTTTTTTAATATGATAAATATAAATATATATATATATAGCGTCAGATTCACACCCATATGCCCGGATACAAGTCCTAATTTTAGTCCACTTTCCCTACAATGCACTTTCCCTTCAATGTAACACGCGCACCTGCTACAAGCCTAACATGAGACCAAGGCACGCATGCCTAGGTGGACCCTTTTACCTCAATATCATATATATATATATATATATTCCTTAAACATGATGACACCAACGCTAATACCTATTGTCGTTTTTAATTAGAGCTGCAAATGAACCGAGTTATTTATGAACCGTTTGGGCTCGGCTCATTCCAAGCTCGGCTCGAACTCGGCTCATAAGTAAATGAGCCGAGCCCGGGCCCAATTTTCAAACTCGTTCAGTAAACAATTCGAACCCGAACAACGTTGGGCTCGGCTCGTATAGGCTCGTGAACAGGGGTTCAGGCTCGGCTCACTATATAATAATAATAATAATAGTAATAATAATATAATATATAGTAAGTAACACATTAAAAAACATGACTTAGCATGTTAGCATAGCTTGAACCCAAGGTTTCATTATGAAAGAATTCCTAACACTCTTAACAGGCTACCACTAATCCACTTTGTGTATTTAAAATACAACATTGATTAATATATACTAATATACATATACTAAATAGATTATCAAAGACAATTTTAACAGAATCAATAACTATACTACAATTTTTTTAATTATTATCGGTAAAAATGATAATTATTTTAAATTAATAATTTACATATCAAAAACTAAACACCACATGAATAATATCAAATAAAATAATATTGGAGAATCATTATTATGTTGATCTAAAACTAAACACCACAATTTTGTTTTTATTAAGTATGAATGCAAATCAGAATTGACTCTATGATCTTCAAAGATTTGTCGATTTAGGTATGAATGAAAATCAAAATTGAGCACAACTTAGATAGATATTTTATAATCTTTAAATTCAAATATTTATCTATATTATGTTATAAAATATTCAAATATGAATTAAGTATGAATGGAAATCATAATTGACTCTATTATCTTCAAAGACTCGTCGATCTAAGTATGAATGAAAATCAGAATTGAACACAACTTCGATAGATATCTTATAATCTTTAAATTCAAATATTTATCAATATTATGTTATAAAATATTTAAATGTGAATTAAGTATGAATGGAAATCAAAATTGACTCTATGATCTTCAAAGACTCGTCGATTTAAGTATAAATGGAAATCAGAATTGAGCACTTGGTCTACACCTATATTAATTAACTGAAATTTTTTTTTTTTAATAATTCAAGTCAATAGAACTAATCCAAACAAATGACTTCACCATCCAACAACATGCTCCTTGGTAACTGGGCGTGGTTTAGAAGGCGCTGAAACTCTAATATGATCTTTTTTTTTTTTTTTTTTTTTTTTTTTTTTTTTTTTTTTTGGGTGGAATATTAATTAATTTTGAGAAATAAATTTTTTTTTTTTTTTTTTAGCCGAGCCCAAGCTTTTAAAATTAAAACGAGCTCGAGCCCGAGCACAATTTTTTGAGCTCGTCACGAGCCGAGCCCGAGTAGACCCAGTAAACAAACGAGCCGAGCCCGAGCAGACCTAAGCTCGGCTCGATTCAATTCATTTGCAGCCCTATTTCTAATGACCAAGTGAACCCATGAAACATTCTATCACGTTTTCCCCTGTACCCAGCAGTATGTATATATATATATTTAAGTATTGTAATCAGTAAACCTTTCTCTACATAAACTGATAGAAATAACTGGAAGCAACTTTTCAATGTAATTAAAATAATACACATTGCCACCTTAAACAAATTTTAATTCTCTAACCATCAATTAAACATTAACTCAAATAATACTTTAACACCACTAATTCAAATTAATAGAATTTAATATACAACAATCCAAAATAAAAATATATGGATAAAGCCTTAAAGCCACTACGTATCAAAATTCTCAAAATTATTTTTAATTTATAGATTGAGGACCATTCAATTCGAGTTCAATCCTTTCTTAAAGGTGATGTTAAGAGTCGGATGTTACCAAATGATATGATAGATCGTTTGGAGGATTTCAACGAATGATATCCTTTCTTAGAGGATTTCCTGTTTGGAGGGGCTTTTTGATTCCAAAATTCTTTTTATTAGAATATAAAAGTTGTTTGGGAATGTATTTTTTAAAATTCCTTTCAACAATTAATATTAACTTGACAATTTTATTTTTAATAATTACCCTAAATAATTTTCAGGAAGATTTGTAGTTTAATTAAAAAAAAAAAATTGACGTACGAATAAAGAAAATTATAAAAATAGAAAAAGAGATTAATAAAAGTGATGAAGTGAAGGTAGCAGATAAAAAAATAATAATAAAAAAAAAGAAAAGAAAAGAAAGGAAAGGAATATAGCAATGAAGCTTGTGTTTATGCTTCCATTGCTGTTGTTCTCATTAATTATATACTTGGGAAATCGAATATCTCTTCGTTGTGAAATCACTTTTTACTCTCAAACTTCTCTAGATGTTGTCGGCAATATAACAAGAAAAACGATGAGAATGCATTCAAGTGTGTGCCAATTCACAGAGAAAAATACCTGAAGAGAGAGGTTAGGGTTTCAAAACGTATAAATTGAAAATTAGAAGTTTTTAACTTAAAAATTATAAAAGTAAAATATTTGAAGAATTGTGACCTATCAAGAATTCTCAGATAACTAGTTTAAATAGGAAAAGTATTTTAGTATTGAAATTTGATCGGAGTAAAGGACTCCTAACAACTCTCTCGTTCTACAAATTTTACGAAATAAAAGGGGACAGATTTGTTACTTAAAATATGCTAGCTTATCGATAGACGAATTTCAGAAGCTAGTTTTTGACGCTTTGCTTGAACGGACTTCCTAAGACTTTGATGTTGATTAGAATTCATTTTCTTTTATTTCACCAAACACTACCATTTTTTTTTTTCCAGAAAGCTCCCCTAGCTTATCGATATCCTGACTTTTTAACTATTTAGATAACACCCTTACACCTTAATAAAATTAAATTTGTATATATATATATATATATGGGTAAGTTTTTGCCAATGATGATAATAATTATAAATTAAAAAAAAAAAGTAAAGTGATCTATCACCAAGGAGCCCATCTATTTTTAATCGAGGGAGAGAGAAAAAAAAAGAGTATCCGAATTTATTGTTTCCACTCAGATTCCCTTTTAAAACCCATTTATAAATCATTCCTACTTCACCTCTTCTCACCGAGCATCAACAGCCCAGAAATATTCAGATATTTGAGGCTGCGTTCTTCTTGCTTCCTCATTTCAGGTACCATGGATCTCTTCCATTATTGACTGTATAAATTTTTTGTTCACCCTGTTACTCCTTTAATTTTCTTCACGTATTATATATTTTGAAGTAGTGTAGTTACTGTTATTGATGCATAACAGTTAACTAGAGATTTTGGAACCTGTTTGGACGGTTAAAAGGTCAAACGGGTATATTGGTCCGTTTTTAATTTTTTATCGGATGATTTCGATGAATTCAATTTGCTTTCTTTTTTGGTATTTAGAAATTAGGTTTCTTTCCTTATTTTTATAGAATATTCAGAGCAAGTTTAAGTCTGTTTTTGAGTATTTTCCTTGCGAATTTCTTTTAAGTTGTTAGGCTTTTTGTTTATAAATACATATACCGCTGAGCAGTCATTCATTCAATTATTAATATATTATTAGATTCCTCTACAAATTCTTCTTCTTCCCTGTCGATTCAAGTACCACCTTGTGGATTCAAGGTAACACTCGTTCCTTTGTGAACAATTGCTTTCGCTTACTACAGTCATTTTATTATATATTTTTTGTTCAATCCTTTAATGGTTTTTATTTGATGTTGAAATGGCAGAGCTGATGTTTATTTACATGATGTATACGTAGTCATTAAAAAGAGCATGCCATTAAGTAAAATTGTTGCTACATGGTAAATTTTTTTGCTTGCAATTTTTTTCTTTTCTGTTTGTGTTTGTTTTCCTAATTAATGGACCTAAACCATATTTTCCTCTCACAAGATGGGGCCTTGACTAGTTCAGCAGCCAAATTATTCCTCAGGATTCTTTAATTTTCTCTTAAAATTACTAATACAATTATTGACAATATGTTCTGATAAATTTTGTTTTTATATATAGTTTGGTGGGAAAAAAGAAAAAAGAAAATATATATATATATATATATATATATATATATATATATATATATATATATATATATTGTCTTACAATGTGTTATATAATCACATTACGATGGAACCTTGATTCTTTGACATTCGGCTTCTCCGATGCACAAAAAGAAAAGTTGCAATAATCCGACACCTACCTAATGTCGAATGCGTAAATAATAGGTGGCCACCAAACAAAAACTTTTTCTTAATTTTAAATGTACTATGCAACAGGATAGTGGTAATGTTTAGTTGTATTACTTAAAATGAGAAATTGAAATATTTTGATTTATAACTTTTCTTTTATGTTATATACGTTCGATGTTTCTATTCTGTGCTGGGGTATTCGATTGCAATGTGCCAGTAAATTCCTAACCCAATGCATGCTTTGACAATTGTGTGTAGGGGTGGCAATTTATATCCAGATCTATTAAACTGATCAAACCTGTCCATTACAACTAAATTATTTGGGTATTCAATTTAAATGAATGAATAATTAATGAATAAAAAATGGGCACCCATTATAATTAATGGGTAAATAATGGATCAAGATGGGTACTCGGCCAACTTAATCCACTCAACAAAATTCTAATTATATATATATATATATATATATATATATATATATATATATATATATTTGTGCACAAGGGTGGTACTTCAATATCATTATCCTATTTTTGTGAAGCTTGCATCTTTCTTACTTTTGTTTGGACCGTTTTATGTGGAAAAAAAAACCCTGTTACACTTAATACAATTGATTTTATAAGGAAAATATATAGTTGAAGAACACATTGAAGTTATTATAATCATTATTTGATTTGTGAAGTTTTTTTTTTTGGTAAATAGAGGGTGTAACCTTTCATATATATAAAAAATTAATTCAGTTCATGCTTTTTTTTTTTTTTTTTTAGTTTTGTTAATGAAAGGTTCTAGATAATTGCATTCATGCATTATATATATTTCAATAATGTTATTTGTTATTGTTATTATTATTATTATTATCTTTTGATAAATTACTGTGACATCTCATAAGATTTTCCCGAATAGTCATATGTAAGGTTTTTTTTCTTTTTTTTTTTTTTTTTTTTTTTGGTTTTTAACAATGACACCCCATCAGTTTTAACATATAAACTAATTTATAAATGGGTCTATTTAGTATTTATTATAATATATATATATAGTTCGTAAGAATAGTATGTAATAGTTAAATTTATATATATGTTGCATGTATATATATATTTTTTGTTTTTTATTTTACATGAAACGGGAAATATCTAATAAGGAAAGGACATGAGAAGTTCTTGAGGGTTTTTGACCAGTCTTAGCAATAAACAAAGGACGCTTGAAAAATAATTTAGGTTATTGTCGTCATGTGGTGCAACTTCTAATTTGAATTTGCTTATTTAACATGACATCTTCACATGTTTGTCCCGCTTATGACCCGCTCATTTGATCTCTAACCCTTTCATGACTCACTATTAATGAGTTAATATATAATAAGTTATTAGCCCATCCATGACCAGCCCATTCAATACCCGCTTAATTACCACCCCTAATTGTGTAATAAAATATATTAATGCAGAGTGCATTTGCTTAAAAGTATAAACTGAATTTTGCCAATAAAACTGATATCTCTAGTTAGTCGCCAACTTAAATTTATTTATTTATTTATTTTTTTCTCTCTATTTAAAGCAATGGCAGATGAAGCTTCACAAAGTCTAAGTCTGAAGGTCCTGGTGGATGAAGAAACAAATCGAGTTGTTTTTGCCGAGTCCGATCATGGTTTTGTTGATGTTCTCTTCAGCTTCATGAGTATGCCTATTGGAACCTTTATTAGAAGCACCCATGAACAAGCATCAAAATGGGAGATTGGTTGCATGAACAACTTATATGAAAGTATCGAGAATCTCGACGATACACATCTGCTAAGTGCAGAGTGCAAGGACATGCTGCTACGTCCCCGTAGTGCTGCCGAAATTTATTGCAGAAACCTAAAACTAAATTTTGTTAATTGTACTACTAGTAATAATGAGTACTATGGATGCAGATGTGGGAGAACAGAATGCACTTTGTTTCCTTACCCAACTGCTCATTGCCGTTGTGGAAGCCCCATAAAATATATGGTGAAACTGGAAAATAGTAGCTCTGTTCCTCCAGTCGGAGGTGTTTTTGTGAAGCCCACCTCTCGTTTCATGATAACTGATGACTTTCAAGTATTGCCGTTGTCCACGATGACTGTCCTAACCTTGCTTAAAGAGCTTGGAGTTGTGGATGGAACCACAATAAAACAGAGGTGTATAAAGATAGGCAACGATGAGGTAATTAAAAAAATTGTTTGTAATATTATTTTTCTTTTTGTCGAACATGTAAAGTATCAAAATGGATGGTCTTTCTTTCAGGTTCTGAAGATGCTCAAGGCTTCATTAACATCTATGGCACCTTTTTCTGAGACTGTCTTGGAAACAGAAGACAATAAAACCAGTGTTGCAGTTGGTGGTGAAGAATTTAGTCCAAGAATTACCACAAATGAATCTAGAAGGGCCATGGACACAACAAGAAGCAACGAGGCAAAGATAGATTTGAAACTCATCATCAACAAATGTAACAACAGGGCATTGTATGTTGAAGCCAGGGAAGATTTTGTTAATCTCATCAGCAGTTTTCTCACCGTTCCACTTGGTTTTGTATTTAAAGAATTTCCAAGTTTGTCGTTGAGGGGATGCTTGGCTAACTTATACAAGAGCATCCAGGCACTTGATGTTGACGAATTCCTGAAATCTGAGGAAATGAAGGAAACTCTAATCAATCCAAAGCTGGCTCCTGGAATAGCTTGCAATAAGCAGCTCATCCCCATCGAGGAAGCTTTGTATCCGTCGCGGCCAACCATTACTTCTCTTACTTCTCTTGTTGAAAGAACTTGTTCTAATTTTAAAGTAGCTTCAACTGGCGAGAGATTCGTGAAAGGGCCGTCAAAGTACATGGTGACGGACAATTTGACCATAACACCTTTATCTCTAGTCTCTGGCTTATCTCTTATTAACAAACTTAATATTCCCATTAGTGACATTGTAGAACGAGAAGTAACCATTAGTGAGGAGGAGGTAAATTTACTCCTTTGGACCTTTAATTTTTTAATTTTTTTTTGTTTCAACACTTTTTCATAGCAATCTGTTTACCTCTCCACGTACGTTCATGATTAACTAGTTGCTGAAAATTTATATATATTTACATATATATTTTATTTTGCAGGCTTTGCGTCTACTAGAGGCTGCTTTGGTATCGAGATCTGCTCTGACTGATGCTTTAATACTGAAGGAACCAAAACAAGAACCAAAAGGTAATATCAGTCATCTTGATGCATGAACAGAAATTGGCACAGTTTCTGTTGTTATGAGTGGAGTTACCATTGTTAATTTTGTTTTTTATGTTACATTTTGGACTTGTGAAGCTACAAATCTTGTGACTGATGTGACAGAAGCTTGTCTAGGGTTATTTCTGTTTAATGATTATTATGTTGTTGTATTACTACCTATATGCTCTTCGTGCTAGTGGCTTTTGAGCTTTTCGATCTAATTTTGTTCTCAACTTAATTGTCTCTTGCAGGCCGAGTCCAGCAGTTTCCAAAAAGAGATTGAAGGTCCGTGGCAAGTGAAATTTGAGCTTGAAATCCAATGTCTCTTGCTGGTGGTAGTTTTTGGTTAATTATGACCTAGCTTTCTTGGACTTGGTATATATATATATATATATATATTATATTATATTATATTATATGTATGTGGTATTAGCTAGGCCTTGTAGGACTTTTGTGCGAGCTTGGCTAATGGCTACCAAGATATCATGTTGATGGTAGTTCATGACGTATTTTGAACTGTTAATTAATTATATATTTGGATAGTGTTTGGTTGTTTTGGTGAATGGATTATGTTCGAAGAATATAGGGATCATGTTGAATTTTGCAGCCAAATTTTTCAAAATTGAAGAATGGTTGAAGAAAATAAATGTTTTGAGAAGTGAGTGGATGTTGTTGTGCCAGGATGGAAGAATAACAAAGAGAGGCCATATATATATATATATATATATATATATATATATAAGGTATTTAAATGACCATTTAATTCTTGCCTTTTCCTTTAACATTTAGGTGTTTAGCGCACACCTAAATGTAAATGTGTGGAGTTTTGACCGTGCTTGCTTTTAGATGTGTGATATGCGAAAAATTGTTAGATACCTTAGACCATTTTATAATCAAAAAGTTTGAATTAAATTGATCCATTAAGTATAAATGGTCAAACATCATTTAAAAATTTCTCAGATAGACACCTGAAGCATCTATTACCAAGGTGGGCCTATAACAAAAGTTCCTTTTGTATTGGGCTCAAAACCCATATACACTAACAATTGTCATTTGCATTAAGTGGAAAGAAACACGTGAAGCATTTCATGTCAATCTGGGCTTAAAAGATTTAACTAGTTTCATTCACATGTCTACATTGATTCCTGTTTTTTGAGAATGCATTTGACTAAAAACTAAATCTAGTCAGTATGATAGAAAAGAGTGGAAGGAAGATTATTTGTGCGGAATAAAGATAAAGATAATGATGAAAAATTGATATGCATTACTGGAACAATTTCTTTCACAAACAACTTAACCCTATACTATCATATTGATAACAGTGCATGTCGGCAATATTTTTGTGACATATAATGAGGATATTTGTCATAAAATTAGTAATATATCTTTTAATTAAATGCATTGCAATGTTCGATGACACGTCTAGGTTAATGCGAACTCATAAAGTTTTTATTTTTGTTTTTATGACAAATGTCCTCATCTCATAAGTTAACGCCCTCAGAGTGGACACGGGGAACGGCTGCAGCCCACCCCAAAAAAAAATTTCTTTTTTCACTATACTAATATATTAGTTCAGTCCAAAAAAAAAAAAAAAAAAATTAATAATATTAGCCCACCCTAAAAATTCAATGAAGCCCAACTAAACTCAACCACCATACTAAAATAAAATTAGTCCACCCCACCTAAAAATCCTAGATCTGCCCTTGAACGCTTTAATCCTTCGTTTGAAAATGAAAAAGTTATATTATAGAACTAAATGTCCATGAGTACAATGGTGTGTTTTATTATGTATGGACTACTAACCATTCCAAACTGAGAGGACATTTTGCAGTCAGTCCCTGTTTATTACTATTATTTTTTTCAATAAATAAGGAAACTGTATAAAGAGAAAAAGACTATACATAAAAAATTTTGGAATGTTTTTCGATTTTTCGATTGAAGGTTAAATTAATAATATTAAAAAAATCACTTACTTTATAAATGGACTAATTATTTTGGGACTGATGAAAATGAAAAGGTGAATACAAAATTACAAATCCGCGTGTGGTAGGATGGTGCATTTTTTTTTTTTTTTTTAGTTAAAAGGTAAGTAAGGACTGGGCATTTTGTTAACACTATTATTATTTTCCCTTATTAATTAAATAAAGAATTAATACTATCCTTTTTTGAAATATATATATTGGATCAAAAAATCATTTTAGACGTCTAAATTTTTAAGAAGTTAGAATATTTATAAAGTAAATAACAAAAAAAAAAAGGTTAGGATATTTATAAATTGTTCATGAGGGTAGATTGGTTCAATTTATTTAATTGTAAAGTTAAAAAAAATCTCATAAACAGTCATGGGTAATTTGATCAATTTCTCATCTAAAGGGGTGTCTTTGTCCATTTTTAAACATTCAAGGATGTCTTTGTTCAAAAAACAGGTAAGCTTCCTTTAAGTATCCTTTTGTCAAACATTAAGAGTGTGGCTGTACTTTACCCTTAATATTATTATATTATTTTCCTTTTTCTTCACGTACGCTACCAAACGCGCCCGAGAGCGGAAGGGGCCGGGGGGCGGGCGGGAAAGTATCCTGCTTTATTGTTTCCAGCTTTCCACTCACTTTATAACACCCCAATGAACTTCTGCTACTTTTTGTTTATAAATTGTTCATGAGGGTAAATTGGTTCAATTTATTAAATTGTAAAGTTAAAAAAAGTCTCCTAAGCGATCAAAGGGTAATTTGGTCAATTTTTTATGTAAAGGAGTATCTTTGTCTATTTTTAAACACTTAGGAATGTCTTTATTCAAAAAACAAGTAAACTATTTTAAGTGTCCTTTTGTCAAACATAAAAAGTGTGTCTTTGTCTATTTTTTCTTTCCTTTTTCTTCACGTAGGCTACCAAACGCGCCCGCGGGGGGTATTATTTTCCTTTTTCTTCGCGTACGCTACCAAACGCGCCCGCCGCGGGGGTGGGGGGGGGGGGGGGGGGGGGGGGTGTTCCAGCTTTCCACTGACTTTCTAACACCCCAATGAACTTCTGAAATTTGATACTATTTTAGCCAAAGAAACTGTTTAGGGATGGATCTATTCATCGCTCAGTGGGGGCAATTTCCCCCACTGTTTCTCTTTTCTTTTTACTATGTACCATTGATTTTTCCCTTTTTTTAATATATACCCCTAAAATTTTAGAGTTGCCCCCACTGAAATTATAGAAAAATCCTACAATTGCCCCCCTCCCCAACATTTTTTATATGGTTGTTGTTAAAGACCCCAGTCACATAGTTTTCTAGGTCCGTCCATGCAAATCTATGGTTGAAATGTTGTGTTCACTGGATTCCGACTCTATTTCCACCCTCTATTTCACTCATCTATTGACCTCAAAACTAGTTCAAAGTATTATGTTATGAATTTAGTTCATAAAACACATCCAAGAATCCAAAAGTTGGATCGAATCGTCAGGTAAATTAGTCAAAATGTATGCCTAAAAACCATAGGTCGGCCATGGTTTGCAACTATGTGTTCTCCTTTTTGTTTTTCTTTTCCTTCTTCATCTGTTCATTATCTTTAAATGTCTTGCACGACATTCAAATAACCAGTACTTAATCTAAATGTTTGTGTATATATAAATTCATATAAAATATTATTTTCAAGTGTTTTTTTTGAAGCAAATTCTAGTCCTATTGTACACCATTTTCAAAATTTAACTACAAATCAACAGTGTCTTTCCATTGAGGTTTTAGGGTTCCAACAGCATGCATATATATAATTTCATTATAATATTAAATTAAAAATCTAATCTAATAAACTTAAGAAAACATCAAGACTGTCATACACCAACAAAATTCGCAGTAAACGTACTCCTAACCCATGCATGCTTTTGACAATTGTGTGGTAAATAATACATCTAAAATATTATTTGTTAATTCATGCAGATTGCATTTGCTTAAAGTATAAACTAATTTTGTGAAGAAAACTGATTTTTATTTCTTATCTTGTAAGCAATGGCAAATGAAGCTTCACAAAGTCTAAGCCTAAAGGTCCTGGTGGATGAGGAGAAGAATCGAGTTGTTTTTGCCGAATCCGATAACGATTTTGTTGATGTTCTCTTCAGCTTCATGACTATGCCAGTTGGAAACATTATTAGACTCACCCACGAACAAGCATCGAAATGGGAGAGTGGTTGCCTGAACAACTTATATGAAAGTATTGAGAATCTTGAAGTTAAACATCTGCAAAGTGTGCAGTGCAAGGACATGCTGCTACATCCTCGTAGTGCTGCTGAAATTTACTGCAGAAACCTTAAACTAGATTTTGTTAATTGTACTACAAATGGGTACTATGCCTGCGGGGCACTCAAATGCACGTTTCATCCTTACCAAACTGCTTGTTGCCGTTGTGGAAGATGCATTAATGATCAAATGGTGAAGCTGGGGAATCCTCTCTCTGTTCCTCCAGTTGGAGGAATTTTTGTGAAACCCACCTCACGCTTCATGATAACGGATGACTTTCAAGTACTGCCCTTGTCCACTATGACTTGCTTGACCTTGCTGACGGAGCTTGGAGCTGAGGATGGAACCACAATAAAAGAGAGGTGTATAAACTTAGGGAAGGATGAGGTAATTAACAATTAAGTTGATTATTATTTTTTGTTTTAGTCTACACGTAATTAAATTAACAAAATGGATGGTCTTTTTCTCAGGTTCTGAAGTTGATCAATTGTTCATTAACATCTATGGCACCTTTTTCTGAGACTGTTTTCAAATCGCCAATCATTAGTAAAACAAGTTCTGCAATTCGCCGTGGAGAATGTAGTCCAAGAAGCACAAATCAATCTGAAAGAGCGATGAAAAGTACAAAAAGAGACGCCAAGATAACTTTGAAGCTTATAATCAACAAGTCTACCAATAGGGCATTGTATGTTGAAGCTAGGGAAGATTTTGTTGATCTGATCAGCAGTTTTCTCACCATTCCACTTGGTTATGTCTTTAAAGAATTTCCATGTCTGTCATTGAGGGGATGCTTGGCTAACGTACACAAGAGCATACAGGATCTTGATGTTGAATTCTTGAAATCTGAAGAGATGAAGGCAACTTTAGTCAATCCAAAGCTGGCCCCTGGATTAGGTTACAATAAGCGGCAGTTCATTCCCATCGAGGAAGCTTTAGATCCGTCGTGGTCAACTGTTTCTTCCCTTTTCAGAATGGATTATTATTATCATCCAGGAGTAGCTATAACTGGCGAGAGATTCATGAAAGGACCGTCCATGTTCATGGTGACAGACAATTTGACCATAACACCTTTATCTCCAATATCAGGCTTCTCTCTTATTAACAAATTGAACATACCAATCAGGGACATTGTAGAACAAGAAGTAACCATTGGTGAGGAGGAGGTAAATTAACTTCTCCGGACCTACTGTTTTTTTAAAATTGGTCTTGGGTTCAACACTTGTTCTACCTCTCCTCATGCAAGATCAAATCATGTGTGAGGGGGATGCAGGAATGTGTTTAGATTGAAGTATTGTAATTCTTTCAAAGTTGTAGTTCTATTAACTCCTTGCTGACATATATATATATATATATATATATATTTCTTTTGCAGGCTTTGCGTCTATTAGAAGCTGCTTTGGTATCAAAATGTGTTCTGACTGATGCTTTCATACTAAAGGAGGCAAAAGAAGAACAATGAGGTAATTTCATCTCTATCGATGCATGAACAGAATGGAAACTTAACAGGAATGCAGTTATAAATTGGCATAGTTTCTGTTGTTATGAGTGGACTAGCGCGCCATTGGTATTTGGTAGCAGCTCAGCTCACCCATCCTGTGCATCTGGATGCCCTAACTGATGTTTCTCTGGGGTAATAAGATTGTCTAACTTTATAGATTTTTCATTTCTTTTCTTTTTCTTAGTGGCGTCCAATGCCCTAAATTTAGTGATGATCTTGGGAGAGCACGAGATGTCTAGATTTTACAGCACAAAAACAAGAGACTGCATCAATAAGTTTATGTTATTTGGTTGGGTAGGTAATTTTACATTGAATTTCAGATAAAAATTCACCTTTTTTTTTTTTTTTTTTCAGTTGTATTATTTTCTTATGTTCAAAGCAAGAGGTATTTTTGCTTTTATGTTACATTTTGGACTTCTGAAGCTACAAGTCTCGTGACAGAACTTTTTTCTGGGCTCATTTCTGTTTAATGATTATATATGCTCTCCGTGTAAGTGGCTTTTGAGCTTTGATCTAATTTTGTTTTCAACTTGATTGTTTCTTGCAGGTTGAGTCCAGCAGTTTTTTATAAAGATTAAAGGTCCATGGCAAGTGAAATTTGAGCTTCAAATCAAATGTCTCTTGCTGGTATATTATATGTGGATTAGATCTTGTAGGACATTTGTGCGAGCTTGGCTACCAAGTTATCATGCTGATGGTAGTTCATGACATAGACCTTGTATTTAGAACTGTTAATTAATTATGTATTTGATTAGCGTTTGGTCGTTTTGGTGAATGGAGGAATATGTTGGAAGAATATGGAGATCATGTTGAATTTTGGCGCCAAGATTTAAACTTGAATAATGTTTGGAGAATAGAATGGATTGCTTTGTTGGATGTTGTGGTGAGTATGGAGACAGGATGGAAGAATAATATACAAGGCCGGTGTTGGTTTTTTTATTGACCTTTTGAATTGAGAGATTTATAAAAAAATTAAAAAAAAATAGTTTGAAATAGAACTTCAAAAACAACTCATTTTAACATTATTTTTTAAGGCAAATTGCATATAAACCTCTTTAATTTGTAACTATTTGCATTAAATTCTCTTTTTTTAAAATTTTGATACTAAACTCTCCCCAATGAACAGAGTGGTATTTTGAAGAGACAATTATTAAAATACCGACCAAGTTAGGGGGAGGGGGGTATGTAATCTTTTTTTCATTTCTTGAATATTAAGATTTAAACTTTTTTTATTTATTAAATGCATCATAATATTTTAATTAAAAATAAGCATAAAAAATTTAAAAGTATAATTCAGATGTATGAATGCAACTCCATGCTAGGATTTCTTTGACAAAAATGTACTAGACATTGTAAAGTTGCTTAAATTGGACAAAATTACATAAGAACCCTTGTCTATTTCTTTAACATTTAAGGTGTTTAGTGCCCACCTAAATGTAAATGCGTAGACCCCTTTTCTTTATGACAGTTTTCAACTTAATGGGCACTAGACATGAAACTATTAAGTTGAAAAACTATTAGCTGGGCCTATAACTTAAAAGTTCGTTCTGTATTGGGCTCAAGCCCATAATCTACAAATCACCCAACCCATATAGTTTTTCAACTGAGTAGTTTCATTCATTTGTCTATTTTGATTCCTCTTTTGAGTTTGCACTTGATATGCAGCTAAAAATTATATCTAGTCACAGATACTCTATGAAAAAATAATAATAATAATAATAATAATTAAAAAAATGGAAGAAGATAAGTTATGCAAAGATGGTGATGGTGAGTGATGGTGATGAATTGATATGGAGTTAGTAAAATAATTTCTTTCAACAAATGACTTAATTATATAATATCATATTGTTAAGAGCTAGTGTTCTAATAGTATTTTTATCATATAATGAGGATATTTTATCGTAAGAGTAGTAATCTATCATTTAATTAAATGCATTGCAATGATTAATGGGAACTCATGAGATTTTTTTATTTTTTTATTAGAATTAAACAAAAAAATGTAACTTCATTCTCTTTCTATTAGCTGTATATCATAAATAAAGCCTATGATTGTCTTTATTTTTTTTTTCTTTTTGTCACATATGATTTTTGTTTATTTTTTTTCTTTATTTAAACCTCTCTCTCTAGAGTCTATATTTGATTACTATTAGCTGTATAATACAAATAAATGGGTTTGCCGTCCGTCTCTTTTTATATATTTATTGATTGTTTCCACTCTCCTTGTAACACCCGATCATCGTCTGCTACTTTTTCTTTATGCCTTTGCTTTCCCTTTTAAAACCACTTATAAATCATCATCCATTGTTCACTTCTTCTCTAAGCATCAACAACCCACAAATTAATATTCAAACAATTGAGGCTGTGTTCTTCTTGCTTGCTCAGTTCAGGTACCATCTATCTTTTCCATTCCTGAGTATTTAAATGTGTTTCTTTAACGGGGGTACTTCTTTGATATTCTTCATCTTCATATATATATATATATATATATATATATATATATATATATTCCTAGTTATGTATTATATATTTTGAGGTAGTGTAATTACTGTCATTTTAATTTTGAGAGCATTTTAGTGCCAAAGAAGCTGTTTCACTCATGGTTGACATCTTTGTGTTCATTTGATTCCCACTCAATTTCCACCCTTGATTTCACTTATCTATTCACCTCAAAACTAATTTGGATTATTCTTTCATGGATTTAGTTCATAAAACACGTCTAAGAATCCAAAAGTTGTATCAAATTGTCCGGTAAATGCCGAAAAACCATAGGTCAGCCATGGTTTGCAACTGCGTGTCTCCTTTACTTTTTCCTTTCCTCTGCTCAACCATCTTCAAAATGTTGTATGGAGCAGAGTGTTGGGCGTTGAGAAAGACACAGTACAATGCATCTATGTAGCGAAAATGAGGATGATACATTGGACGATAGGAATACTGGAAAAGATAAGATAAATAACAAATGCGTGGGGGGAACACTAGGTATAACGCCTAAAAATGATAAAATTAGGGAAAGTAGACTTGGATAGTATGGTCATATTCAACATAGGCCCAATGATGAACCTATATAATGAGGAAGAGTTATTTGTGTAGAAGGTGGATGACAAAGAGGCCGGCCAAAACTCACTTGAGATGAAGTAATTAAAACCTCAAAATTCTAAATTTAAGAGCGGATATGGCATCTAATATGAAAGAATGGAAAAAGAGAATTCATGTGCCCAATGCCTTCTCTTTGGGATAAAGACAAGGATGATGATGATCATTTTCAAAATGTCTTGCATGATATTCATCATTCTCATGTGTTTTCGAAGCAAAATCTTGTCCTATTGTACACCATTCTTCAAATCTAACTACAAATCAATCATCTCTTTCGACAATTAACAGGCTGACAATCACCCTCAACTTAACTCCTTCAGAGGCTGACAATCACCCTCAACATCAACTTTTTGATAACCCCATTTCTGAAGAAGTTTAAGACCTTCTCTGTAACAATGGCTTCATCTGCTGAACCGGTTTACAATTCGCACAGGATGACCTTCATGAATCCGCAAAATCAGACCTCCTCCACAGCCCCTACTATCAGACTTGAAAGAAGCGTCTATATTCAACTTGAATCTGCCATCAGCTGGAGCCTTCCAAATCTGAGTACAAACTTCAAGTTGATCACGATTCCAAGAATGTGGAATTTCAACACAAAATGATTTCTACTCTTTCAAACTTTTGCCAAGCAATGAAAGAAGCAAGGCTGGTTAAGTTTTCAGATTCTTTGACCCCACTCCACAAATCTGTAAGGAAATTCCGTCTTCAATACCATCCCCCAGGTTAAGCATGAAAACTGACTCTGAGAGGACTTAATCTCCACACCAGTTGAGCTGATGGACAATCAAATAAAACATGGCAAGTAGATTCATCAACCAAACGACATGCTGTTATTTTTCTTCAAATTCAAGAGAACTGGCAACCTCTCATGACAGCATTGCCACAAGAAAAAAACTGAATTTTTCTCAAAGTTTTAATCTTCCAAGTAATCTGGCAGGTAGAAAATCTGGAAAAAGATGCACTTCTCTGAGCTTGGTTACTGCACTGATCCACAGAAAAATTCATAGCAACAGCCAACCTATATGCAGTCTTCACCAAGAACTTACCAACTGTAGGCCCCATATCTTCAAATCTTCTCCATCAGTCTCCCCTACTAGGAATTCTCAAAATAATATCAGAATCTCTTGTATTGAAAACCTCCTTCACCAGTTTGAAAATTGTAATGTTTGTTACTTTGTATTTCTACATAAGTAAAGCATTTTTAAATTGTACTTGCCCTTTCAGTAAAATCATTCCAGTAAATAACATAATTATGGATAGGGTATAGGGACCTACCCCAATTTATTGTAGAACTTTTCAGAATCAATGGTTGGACCATGTAAACTAGAAATACCTTTTCTTGGATAAAGGAACAGATTACTTGATCCATTTCCACATCGCTCATAATTTATGTTATAACTCGAGCATCCATATTAAGTGCATATCCCATTTTTGCACAGTATCATTGTAATATTAAATTAAAAGTCTAATTTAATAATCACAATCTTTTTTTAAAATACAGAGTTCATTTCCTTTGCGAGCAACGATAGACATTACAAAATAATTTTTGTGATGTCTATCGCGAATTATGCAGCTTGTTAGTTTGTTAATAAACAAACAGTTTGCTAGGTTAGTTTCCACTTGTTAAGGACTCACCACCACTACTCTTCCATTGGTGATGTTTATTATTTTTCATTGCTTAAACATAAACGTTACCAAATGGCCCCTTAGTTTTTTTTCTTTATTAGGCATAAAATGTTATGTGTTAATTAATTGAGGCTGCATTTGCTTGAAGTATGAACTGAATTTTGCCTAGAAAACTGATATCTACTTGGTTGCCAATTCTATTATTTTCAAATTTTTTTTTTTTTTTTTTTTTTCAAAGCAATGATGAGAAGAAAAGCTCCACGAAGTCTAACTCTGAAGGTTCTGGTGGAAGAAGAGAAAAATCGAGTTGTTTTTGCCGAGTCCGATAACGATTTCATTGATGCTCTCTTCAGCTTCATGACTATGCCTATTGGAACCATTATTAGACTCGCCCGTGAACAAGCATTGAAAGTGGAGATTGGTTGCCTTAACACCTTATACGAAAGTATCGAGAAACTTGGCGATAAGCATCTGCAAAGTGTGAAATGCAAGGACCAGCTACTATATCCTCGGAGTGCTGCTGAAATCTACTGCAGAAACCTTAAACTGAACTTTGTTAATAGTACTAGTGATGAGTACTATGCTTGCGAGGACGGATGCACTTTGAGTCATTACAGAAGTGCTTGTTGCCATTGTGGAAAAATCATAGATCATGTGGTGAAATTGGGAATTCCTCTCTTGGGTCCTAGATTTGGAGGGGGTTTTGTGAAACCCAGCTCACAGTTTTATGATAACTGATGACTTTCAAGTACTGCCAATGTCCACTATGACTTGTTTAACGTTGCTTAAAGAGATTGGGGCCGTAGATGAAAGTACAATAAAAGAGAAGTGCATAAACATAGGGAAGGATGAGGTAATGAGCAAGTTAATTGATTGTTTTTAAATTTCTTTTATTCTACATGTATTTTAACATAATAAATGGGATGGTCTTCTCTCAGGTACTGAAGTTGCTCGTGTGTTCATTAACATCTATGTCACCTTTTTCTGAGACCGTCTTGGAATCACCTGTCAATAAAACCAGTACTTTTGCATTTCGCCGTGTAGAATTGAGTCCAAGAAGCACAACTGAATCTCAAAGGGGCATGGACACGACAAGATCGAAAGAAGCAAGGATATCTTTGAAGCTTATCATCAACAAATGTAACAACATGGCATTGTATGCTGAAGCAGAGAAAGATTTTGTTGATCTCATCTGCAGTTTTCTCACATTTCCACTTGGTTATTTCTTTCATAAATTTCCATCTTTGTCCTTGAATGGATGTTTGGGTAACTTATACAAGAGCATAAAAGATCTTGACGTTGACAAGTACTTAGAATCTGAGGAGATGAAGGCAACTTTAGTTGATCCAAAGCTGGCCCCTGGAATAGCTCACAGTAAGCAGTTCGTTCTCATCAAGGAAGCTTTACACCCGTCATGGTCAACTGTTGAATCCCTTTATACAACAAATTGGGAAAAGAGTTCAAAATCATTGGTAGATACAATTGGCGAGGGATTCATGAAAGAACCGTCCATGTTCATGGTGACAGACAATTTGACCATAACACCTTTATCTCCGATCTCGGGCTTGTCTCTTATCAACAAATTGAATATACCCATGAGTGAAATTGTAGAACGAGAAGTAACCATTTGTGAGGAGGAGGTAAATTAATTAACTGCTCTGTACCTATATATGGTACTTTTTATATTGGTCTAGGGTTCATCACTTTATAATTGTAGTTACATTAACTACTTGCTGACAATTAATATATATATATATTTCTTTTGCAGGCTTTGTGTCTATTAGAGGCTGCTTTGGTATCAAGTTGTGCTCTGACTGATGCTTTCATACTAAAGGAGCCAAAGCAAGAACCACAAGGTAATATCATTATAAATTGGCATAGTTATTTTATTTTATTTATTTTATTATTATTATTATTATTATTATTATTATTATTTTCAGTGGATTTGCCATTGGTATCATTTTTAATTTTTTAAATTGTAAAGAAGGGCAAATTACAAAATTGGAATGTCTGGTTGAAGGTTATGATATGCCTTTTTTTTTTTCTTTCAATAATTATGAGACATTTTCTATTATTGACTTTGAGAAACCCCATTTCATTAACAGAAATCACTTTATATATAATTGCCTACTACTGATTACTGTTTCTCTGGGGTCATAAGAATACGATTATGCAACTAGGAAGTTTTTTTTTATTTTTTATCTTTTATTTTTTATTTTTTATTTTTTATTTTATTCGAGTAGCATCTAAACCCCTAAATTTAGTGATTTTCTTGGGAGAGTACAAGATGTCTAGATTGTACAGAAAAAAATAAATAAATAAGAGACTGCATCCATCAATTTTCGTTATTTGGGTGGGTAGGTAATTTTACATTGATTTTTATATAAAACTTCATGTTTTTTTTCTGAGTTCTTGTTATCTTCTCTTGTGTTTAAAGCAAGGCACAACTTTATGTTTTTTTTTTGTTTTGTTATGTTCTCTTCTCTTCTCTTCATTCCAGTCCTGGCACAGCTAGCATACCCCTAGCAGTGGGTTTATCAAATGCAATGAGGATGCTTCGTCGCCTGGTCGGGAGGGAGAGGAAATGTTTTCTGCTGCATCTGCCGAAGCTGTCTGCCTATCTCTCCGCGTGCTAGATTTTAATGTCGATTTCTGGTTTTGATCGGGGCTTTGCAGAGCGTTTTACCTCTTCCTCTATTGGTGAGGTGCTTAGACATGACAATGAGGTTGCTCATGCAATGACCAAGTTATGAAAGACTCATATTATGAGTGGTGTTGTTCTTTGATTCTATTCCTTTATGATATTGTAATCCGGCCTAACTGAGCGTGATTGTAACATTTCTTTCATATTTGTGTTTAACCATTATTTTGCTGTTGTCGCACCTATATGCTCTTTGTGCTAGTGGTTTTTGAGCTTTGATAAATAAAAATAATTAATAAATAAAAAATAAAAATTCTACTTAATTATTTCTTGCAGCTTGAGTTCAGCAATTTCCGAAGAATATAGTGGTCATAAAATAAGAGGAATTTGAAGAGGGTGGGCCAATAAAAGTAGGCCCAAAAACAACAGAAAACCAAACACTGCCTCAACAACAACATAGAAGTCTTCTTGGCAATTATAGCAAACACCTCTTTTGTTTTTATAACAACTTCACATTTTGAAACCATGTAACATTCACTTCCACGTCATAAATAAAATAAAATAAGGTACATAGAGTAAAATTATCGTAAATATAATTTTGTCTTGCTAAACGCTAAAGTAGCCAACGATCGTCGTAAATACACACCAAGTCACTATCTTTGTTGGAATAAAATTGTGCATGAAATTATAATATAATGGATAGTTTAGCAAGTGATGAGTAATTGAATTTAGACTTGTAGATGCTTGAAGAGAAGGAAAAAAAAAATGAAGAGGGTCCATTTCAAACATTGATAGAAAATGACATGAATAATATTTGTCTCCACTCTCCAATACCGTAAGGGGTTTTTTTTTTTTTTTTTTTTCAGAGATTTCTTACAAGTTTTAAAAAATATAAAAGGACAACTGAAACAAGTAACATCATCTGTTTAAAAGTGGTTTTTTATTACTAAAAAAGAAAGTTCTTTCTAACATATTGCAAATAAAGTTTTCAAAGAGACGTCCTTATTTTGTTGATATTGTATCATCAATTAATTAAATGATATAAGGTTTGAGCAAGGAATTGGGACCATGGGATTGGGATTTAAAATGTCTACTTCTGACCCTGCATTGAATATCAAGTTGGGCCTATAACTTAAAAGTTCCTTCTGTATTGGGCTGAACACCCATAATATATTAAAATAACACTCATACAATACATTTACTATGAACAGGCGAGCCCATAGTGATGTATCATATCAAGATACAACAATAATGTAAACATCACTAAATTAAAAAGATAAACATATTCATGTCATGTATGTTCTATTTAATAATATTCCATTTTAAATTTAAGCCTTGTATCGTCAATTATTTGCATTGAAAAATTATATACAAAAGTGTATAAGACATGATTTGGTCCTTCACCCAAATGATGAATGAAAAATTATGGATACATGAATTTAGGTGCCCCATTTTATGATCACATCACGTGAAAGTCCTGAATTTTTTTAACTGCTACCGTAGATATGAAAAATTATTATATATTTATGGAACTCTGCATTTTTTCTAGTGTCTAATATGCCATTTTTACTATGTTTCAAAATGACTTTGATATCACTTTTATGCACCTACCCTATTTAGGCTCCGTTTTGTTTGGATGTAAAATATTTTTCAAAAATTATTTTTTTTATTTTATGGTGTTTGGTTGTCGTAAAATATTTACGAACAAAAAAAATATTAAAACTTAACAAAAATAACTTACCCATCAATTTTTATAAGTTATTTTACATGTTTCGATTGATGGATTCGATCTAGACCTCTGTCAAATACCGAATAAATAAAAATAAAAAATATTTTATTTTAAAAAAAAAATTAAAAATATTTTACGTCGAAACAAACACATAATTTAATTATTATTATTATTATTTTCATAAGTGCCAATGTACCAATTTTTTGCGCATTCGCAACCACTTTTTTTTGGCGCCAATATACCACTTTTTGTGGAGGCCCAAATACTACTATTACCATGTTTTATTTGGATAAATAGTTTAAATTTATTTACCATAAAGTAAAAATGCGTGAAATGTGAAAACAAAAATACACTCAAAACGTCCAAATATCCGTTAAAAAACATAATATGTGACATAGGTACCAATACCATTTGTAAATTCAGCACTTAAAAAATGCACAATATTTTTCGCCTTCAGATCAACCTTTTTAACGATACCAGGAAAATACCAATCACATGACATGGCTTGCTCAACCATTATTTATTCAATTTCTACGGCATTTTCCACTTTCTCTCTCTATATTTATACATATATATATATGCATATCCCTCAAAAGTCAAAATTCTCACGTCTCTCACTGCTAGAAGCATCTTCTGTCTTGTTCTTTGGACAGTGCACCTCCTCCTTCTCCGTGAATCACCAGCGTATCAACCTCTAACAGAGCATCAATCACCTTTACTGGTACATTACTTTTTTTCATGGGTAATTTCACTGACACCTTTAATAGTTTGGCAAAATATCAGTCTAAAATATGTTTCGAAAATAACTATCACTCACATTGCAATCGTTTGTTCTGTTTTTTACTCACACCCCAAAAGTTAGTTTACAGGTGTGTCAGACCACTTTTTATATGTAAAAAGACATTTTTACCCTTTGACTTTAATTTGACCATTGACTTTGGTCCACCCTCATTTTTTTAATTTATTTTTTTCCAAAATATCATTGTTAAAAGACAATATGGCCCCTTAAAAATTTGTAAATTTACAAATTATACTATATATACAAGCAGACATATATATACCCCTATATACACACACTGAGACATATATATATACTCCATACAGAGACGATAGCGGCGAAGGGAGATCGGTTGGGCACTGCAGCGATGGCTGAACCAGAGAGTGCGGGAGGGTCGCTGGACGGTGGTGGTTTCAGGGGAAGGAAGACGCCGAACCAGAGGTTGCTGTGCCGTCGACTGTGGGTCGCTGTCATGCGTCACGGGTAACAGTCTTCTCGCCGGCGGTTTGCGTGGCCGTCGTGTGTGGATTGTCGGTGTGGGACGGCGGGTCGTGTTCACCATCTTGTGCAGACTATGGTTGTGAGTTGCAATCACAGGTAGGTTCGGTTGCTTGGGGTTGTCGATTGGGTTGTTTGGGGTTGCCGAATTTGGTTGCTTGGGTCGGTCTCTCCTTCATCGTCGCCGGAATCTTCATCAGTCGTAGTCGTTATTCCTCAGTGGATGCTTCAGTTTCCGATGACATTGGTTTGTAAGGTGACTCGACAAGGGCTTTTCTATCAGTTCCTGTGCTCTCAAACACACCCAATTCAAACCCCGATTTCAATTAGTGAAAAAAAAAAAAAAATTAGGTTCAATCAAACACATTGAATCTTTGTTAACAGTAACCCTGAAGCTTCAACTTCCAGAATTAGTTTCAATCAAACACATTGAAGCTTCATCTTCAGAATTTGCAGAAGCCTCGTTAACAGGAACCCTTGATTTTCTCTGAACGGCGGCCGTTTCATTTCTCAGATAAAGCATTACTCAAAGCCCTAATTCGAAGTCCAAACCAGTCCAATTCGTTTAATTTCGCTTAGACATTTTTTTTTCATTCGATTCATTCAATTCCAAGCGCCATCCAATTCTAATACCAAATTGGTGTGGACAATTCTGGAAAATTTAAAACATTAGATTCGTTGATTGTGTATGGGCATGGGAAGGGTTTACAGAGAAACCTCCAAGCCCTTGTCGTCTTCATCGCCTCCGGCACCAGAGATGATGAAGTTACGGATTTTATTTGTGGTATAATTGTCGAGGGTATAATTGTCTTTTCACTAATTTAATATTTTGAATTAAATGTTATTTTAAAAAAAAGGGGCAAATTTGTCTTTTCCCATGCTTTTAACGGAGACTGTGACGAAAGCGTAAAAGTGGACCTAATTGATAGTTATTTTCGAAAGATATTTTAGACTGATATTTGGCCAAACTATTGAGGGTGTCAGTGAAATTATCCCTTTTTCCATTTCTATCTATATGTATGTGTATATATATATGTGTATCTGTAAAGCCAAATCCTAGGTTTCATATATATGTGTTTGTGTGTGTTTTTTTAATTTTAATGTTCGTATAGATTCTTGTAGTACCGAAGCAATTTTGGGGGCTAGGGTTTTCCGTATGACGAAGAAAGGAAAATGAGTGGTCTACTATTAGTACTCAGGTAGAAATCAAAAGAGGCGATTCTGACATTATCGTACAGTATATGTTTATATATATATATATATATCACTAATCAGTTCATCCTATTTTTGAAGCAAAATTTTGTTTTTCCGGGAAAAAAAAATTACTACCTTTTTTGATCCACGTGAAGTACATACAATCAGATTTCTTGGGATATACTAAATGGCATTGAAGCAATGACAGCTTGCTTTGTTTACTTTTCTTTGAACAGTTTTCTATTTTAAACTGTACAAAAATTCTATTTAATTGATAGTTTTGAAAATTGTTTTAAAAAAAAAAAGTGGTTAATTTTCATAGAATTGTCTATTATAATTCTTTGAAAATAGTTTTTCTAGTACCTATTAAGTTACTAAGACCATTTTAAAATATAAAGACCGAATTTTTAAAAGAAAATAAGAGTTTTGGGTAAAACTTATTGGAGATCCTTTTAACGTCGCGAGGAGTGTTTTAATGAGTAAAGATTAAATCTTTTGAAGAAATTACCCCAATCAAGGTATCTATTATGTCACAAAACCTCTCATTTTCTTTCAAAGATTCAATCTTTATACATTAAAAAGGTCTGGCGATATAATTGGGACTTTGATTGAGGTAATTTCAATAAAAGATTCAATCTTTACCCATTAAAACACTCTTCGTGACGTCAATGGAATCTCGAATTAGTTTAAATCAAAACTCTCATTTTCTTTCAAAGATTCAATCTTTATACATTAAAAAGGTCTGACGACATAATTGGGACTTTGATTGAGGTAATTTCAATAAAAGATTCAATCTTTACCCATTAAAACACTCTTCGTGACGTCAATGGAATCTCGAATTAGTTTAAATCAAAACTCTCATTTTCTTTCAAAGATTCAATCTTTATACGTTAAAAATGTGTGAGAACTATTTTTAGAAAACTAAACCAAGAATAGCCTTTTGAGATTTTATTGGCAGGGCCATGATCAACAATCTAAGGGCCTGTTTGGTTAAAATGGAGCAGTTTTTCGTTTTCAAAAGTCTGAAAATCAGAAATCAGTACAAAAAGTTGTTTGGTCGATAGGTTTTTTTTTTTTTTTTTTTTTTTTTTTTTTTTAACTCAGTTTAAAACAAATGTACATGTCCAGAGAAAAGTTTCTTTTTCATATTTTTTTAAAAATTTATTATAATTATATCATGTTCAAATTTTTCTTAAAACTGTTTTCAAAAAATTGGACCAAACAGGTCCTAAGTATCTAGCAAGATATTTAGTAATTTGACATGCATATCTCGACTTCTAAGCCTCCTAAGCAAGATTTCTTTACTGCCCGTGTGCGCGTTAAGGAATATACAATGAAAGGGAAAAAAGAAGGCGGCAAAGTATGTACAAAATTTACTCTTATGCTAAAAAATAGTATAAAATGTTTTATTAATGATAACTTTTGTATTATCATTTTGTGTCAGCACTTAAATGGGTGCTTGGGACTTGTTCATTGTTTTAAATATGAGGTAAAAATGGAAAATTACTTAAGTAGAGTATTCTGTCATCTGATAAAAACGATTTATACTCCTAAACCTGTGCAATATTGATCATTTTTGTGTGATAAACAAGTTCTAACATTTTGTGTGATAAACAAGTTCTAACATTTTTTGTGATAATTGATGCAGGGGACAATTGCTTAAAATTTAAGTGTGTTTTTGCCTAGAAAACCATTCTCTACAAAATTGTCAGTCTATTTTTTCCTTTAGATCTATGGCAACTGAAGATTTACATAGTATAAGTGTGAAGTCCTGGTGGAAAAAAATGAAAACAGAGTTGTTCTGTTGAGTCCGATAAGGATTTTGTTGATGTTCTCTTCGAGCCTCATGACTATGCCTATTGGAACTATTATTGGGCTCACCCGTGATCACTCAGCGAAACGTGGAGATGGGTTGCCTGAACCACTTGTATGAAAGTGTGGAGAATCTTGAGGAGGAACAACTGCAAAATGTGAAGGGCAAGGAGCTGCTGCTTCACCCTCAAAGTGCAGCTGAATTGTACTGCAGGAACCTGAAACTAAATCTTGTTAATAGTAATTTTAATGAGTACTATATTTGTGGCAATCCAGGGTGCCCTTTGAGTACTTATCAAACTGCTCCTTGCCATTGTGGGAGCACCACGAGTTATGGAGTAAAAGTATCAAATCCTACCACTGCTTCTCAAGATGGAGCAATTTTTGCTAGGCCTGCAGCACGCTTTATGATAACTGATGACTTTCGAGTGGCACCCATGTCAAGTATGGCTGGCTTAAACCCGCTTAGTGAGCTTAAAGCCACGCATGGACACACAATAGAAGAAAGGACTATTAACATAGGAAGGGAAGAGGTAATTAACAAGTTAACTAGTTTCTCTATTTGGTGTTTTTATAAAGAGGAAAACAAATTAATGCACTCTCTTTCTCTCAGGTTCTGAAATTGCTTAAGTGTTCATTAACATCGAAGGCTCCTTTCTCTGTGACCATCTTGGAATCAACTGTCGATAGAAGTATTTACTGCAGAAAATTTGGTCCGAGAAGCACCAGTCAATCTCAAGGGGCTTTGGACTCAACAAAGAAGGATACAAAGATAACTTTGAAGCTTATTGTCGACATATATAACAACAGGGTTTTGTATGCAGAAGCAAAGGAAGGTTTTGTTGATCTCATCTGCAGTTTTCTTATATTTCCGCTTGGCTATATTTTTAAGGAATTCCCATGTTTGGCTCTAAGAGGATGCTTGGATAACTTGTACAAGAGCATTCAAGATTTTGATGTTGAAGAATCCTTAATATCCAACGAGATGAAGGCCATTTTAGTTGATCCAAAGCTTGCCCCAGGTCTTGCTTGTAACAGTCAGTTCATTCCCGTCGAGGAACCTTCATATCCATCACTGTCATATGTTTCTTCCCTTTATACCATGAAACACATGAAGCCCACTTCAGGGGAAGCTATAATTGGAAAAGGATTCATAAAAGGACCTTCCTTGTTCATGGTGACAGATAATCTTACCGTAACACCTTTATGTCCAGTCTCGTGCATCTCTCTTATCAACGGAATGAATGTAACATTAGGGAATGGGAGGTGACCATTGGTGGGGACGAGGTAAATCAACTACTCTATATCTATTTAAAGGCTTAAGCTTCTAAGAAGATCGCTTATATTGGTGTATTGATTGGCACCGTCATCATGGTCCCTTAAACAGACAATTGATTATGTTTTCTTTTACAAGTAACAATTGATTGTGTTACTGAACATGGTACCTATTTTTATAAATTGCTTGGTCCTTTTTAGTGACTTTTTAAATTCTCTGTACATGTGTGGTTATCTAAAATGGTTTTAGGGCTGTAATTTCCGGGTCTTGGGTTCAAGGCTCCATTTAGGCCAGATGAGTCGCACCTTTCGGAGGGTGTTGAAGTATGTTTATATTCATCAAATTTGCTTTACATAGATTCTTACATTCAATACTACTACTTGGCAATAAGTAAATTCATATGTGCATTAATTTGGTTGCAGGCTTTGTGTCTATTGAAGGCTGCTTTGTTATCTGAATCTGCTCTAACTGATGCTTTCGTGATTAAGGAGACAACGCAAAATTATATACTTCAGTAATTGTTAGTGTTCATCTATGTCCTCATTGAGAACAAAACTGTGGTGACATGTAAGTCTCTTTCTTGGTATTTTAATTATGCTGATTTTTTTGTATATTAGATTTTACTCTTCATTTGGTACTTAAAACAATGAGGAAAGGAATGACGGAAAAGGGTAAAGGGAAATAAGAGGAAAGGAAGGAATTCATCTATGAAAAAATAAAATAGATATCACTGTGCATGTGCATGCGAGAAGTTTCCATTTTTATTTTTCTTTTCTTTTCTTTTTTTCTTCTTTTCTTTTGTCTTTTTCTTTCTGATATCAGTTAGATAAAGTGGGATAGTTGCAGGATGTTAAGAAACTACTAGGGGTTTAAAGCCAATTTAATTTTGCAGGAGGTTAGTTGCAATATCTCAACAGTTTAAGAGCTTTTTGCAATTTTCCGCAGTGTGTGTGTGTGTGTGTGTGTGTGTGTATTCCCTTTCAAAGAGACAATAGAGCTTGAGCCATCAATCTTTTAGTTGGATGGTCCACCTTGATATCAGTTGGGTTATTAAGTTCGGAGGTGAAATAGAATCTTCGTGTAAAATGGCAAGTTTTTGTGCACTGCACAGATGGTCCCTAGTGTAGAATGCATAAATAATGGATGTCAACTTCCAAAATCAATATTTTTTTTGGGTCAGCAATGATAATATCAAGCCTCTTTGAGTATAGCATAATCTGCTACCACGCACATGTTGTCTCCTGTCTCGCGTTTGTACATAATGCGACAAATTAAAATTCTGTGCGTTATAGTTTTTTTTTTTTCCTTTAATGTCTGTTCCGTTTTTGTTTTCTGTTGTCAGGAGGGAATGTTGTTTCAGTGGTATGTAGCATGGCAACAAGAAATGGGCAAATTAGCTAGGTTCGATTTTCTTTTATGCATGTTCCTTATATTTACATGTTTTGTCTTTCTTTTTTTAAAATAATTGTATTCCATGAATCTGAGTTACGCACGAAAAGACTAAAATGTTCTTTTTTATGCACGAGGAATTCCATTGATGATAATTAATCCATGAATCATCCTCCCTAATTCTTCATACCTAGTCTGAGCCACGCGCTCAACATAATTACAAACTTGAATTAATCAGGTTTTAAGATTGCCATTCTCACTTCATTAAACATGTTTATAGGCTTATCATAAAGACCCATTGATGAGGGGGTATTGGAGTGGTTATCCCATTTTGGGCGTAATGGTCAATTTCACTAGAGCTTCCGCTACTGATTCAAAAATGACTTTGAAAAAGTAAAAGAAAAGCTAAGATCAATGCGATTATTTTCACAGAAAAAGCAGTAATTGGCAGCGGTAGGCCGTAGCTGTCTTTGGACAGAATTTTGGTATACACTCATACCCATCCCTTATGCCGTTGTCTACTGCAGTACAGAAAAGGTAGCTCCAGTGGATGTGCACAACCTTGCATAATAGGGTAAGCTTGTTTCTGCTTTTGAAGCTAAAGAAAGAACTCATCATAGATTTTCTAATCCTACAGCAGGCCCTTCCACTACTAGAATCTTTTCGTGAGAATTCAGCATCGAATGAAAGAGTAGGTCCCATCGTCCAGAGTTGGAATATTCGAAATCAGGTTTTTCGGCCATAACAGCATGACTGTCCGGACTACGAGAAGGAATATGTGATGCAGTAGCAGAACGTGGTCTTGCTTTGGATGGAATACGGAGTGTCTAGATTTCGAGATATAGTTCAGCTCTAGATAAGGGGGTTGATAAGGAGTATAACATTATGGCGGAGTAGGGTGAAGGCAAGGGTAGGTTGTTAGGGAGCAGCAGAGCTGTGGACAGGTAGTCCCGGGAATGTTTTCTTGGCCACACTGTCATCATATGGACTTTCTTCTTGCTTCTCCTGGATTTGAAGCTGGTCCTTTCTGACTTTCTGGCATGGAGATTAAAACATTCCATATCCCTGAAGCCTAGGCCCCCATTTTCTTTCACTAGAGTGAAAACTTTCCATCTGATCCAGTGCTTTGTTTCTTGATTAATCAAATCAGAAACTGTATGATCCCATCAATAATCTATACTAAGGAATTAGACAAGGTCTCACAAGCCTTACTTATTTAAATCGCTAACTGTATGGACGGAGCACGAGAATATCCTTAATTGCCCCATCACCCTTACTGAAGATGTTGATTCTGTCCAAGTGGTTGTGGAATATGGTTTTAGAGCTTTAAGGGTCTTGGGTTCAACTTTCAAGACTCCGTTTAGACCAGTGATCGCACCTTATAGAGGGTGTTGGAGTAGATAAACTGTCCTATATCTATTTAAAGTCTTAAGCTTCTAAGAAGATCACATATATTTCTCAATTGATTTTGTTTTCTTTTATAATAACAATTGATTATGTTACTGGAGATGGTAATTATGTCTATACATTGAATTGGTTGTTTAATATGGTTTATTATATTCATCAAATTTCGTTTAAAGAATATTCATATATGCATTTTTGTTGCATGCTTTGTTTTCTATTGGAGGCTGCTTTTGTATCCACATCTGGTCTGACTCATGCTTTGAAGCTGAAGGAACCAAAGCAAGTTTATACTTTATCTATAAACTTTGTATTTGTTAGTGTTTATCTACGTCTTCGCTGACCTGTGTCTTTTTTTGGAATCTCTGTCAAAGGACCTTGTCTTGTAAGTCTGTTTCTTGGTGTTTTAATTATGCTTTTTCTCTGTTTCTTGGTGTTCTAATTATGCTTTTATGCACAGATGGAAAAGGGGAAAAGAAAATTAAGAATTTTGACGATTGGTTGGCCCACTGTTACAGTCGTTTTTAGTTTTTAAAAATAGTTTTCAGTTTTTGATTTTGAAAATCAGTAGTCTAGAAAAGTACAAATCAGTTTTAGGAGAACAAAAATCCCGAAAGCCAATTTGGTTTTATCTCTTGAAAATAGTTTTCTGAAGCAAAAATAAATAAAGAAAATTGTTGCCATGATCAGAATTAGTTATATAACTAATGATCAAAATTTGAGTAAGAACACTCCTCAGAACATAGCTTTAGTAACCCCATTCCATACCTCAATGTATTCTTTCCAAAAGTAGAAACAAAATTTCTCTCAAACCGCACTCGAGTCCTCTAGGTCAATTCTAAATACCCAGTCTGAGCACACAGGCTCAACATAATCACAGTACCTGAATTTATCAAGCTTTAAGTTTTTCCATTATCGCTCCATTAAACACAGTTTATGGCCTTAAGGTGAAGAAATTAAGGAGTTCCCAAAAACAGCATTGCGCTTAGGCATTCTGTCAAACATTTGTCAGGCAGTACATATTTGTAAGATTATTATTTTGCAGAAGCAGACATGGGTTGATTGAAACTAGTTTTGATCATGTGTGTGTGTGAGAGAGAGAGAGACCCAGTTGAATTGGTGGATCATGAAAGAGATCTGAAATTCGTTGGCTCTCTCTCCAACAACATAAAAGTAGTTTGAAGAGAGGGGGGTCGATGCCTGAATGCAAGTGCAGCTGAGGTTAATGAGCTCCTCTCCTCCCTCCAAATCATTCTTTTCTCCCTCCTCCATCAAATTCAGAACAAAAGGGCCACCAATTTTTTTATTTTTTATTTTTCCAACTTATGAAATTAAGAGCGAGATTGCCATGAATTTTTCTTAAAATTAAAACGTTATAAGGAAAGTTAGGCATGGATCATATTCTCAGGTTGCTCATACGTTAGTGTCCCATGTCAGAATTTTAGGGTGAATAGCCAAAAAAAACCCTTCGACTATTAGTTGCGAAAAACCCCACTTATAAATATTTTTGACAAAAAAATCCCCCTGAACCATGAACCATCCGAGGGGGGTGTTTTTAACTAATGTCGGTTTAAGTGATTTTTTGGACAAAATTACCCCTTAACAGATTATTCTTCAGACAGTCTTATCAATTCAAATCTTATCATTACATTTATGGATCCAATGAAAGTATATCGCAGAGAGTGTAACTAACATATATGGCATTTTCCAAATTCAATATTCAAATGGGGTGCATGCCTCTCTTTTGGCGATTGTAACGGTTATGGATCTTATATTGATGCTTGAATTCAGGTGGTTACTTATGTTAATATATATGCTGAGGACATTAGTAACTTTCTTCTGGACTTGAATATTGCTTTTGCTATATAGCTTATCAATTCCAATATTGATTTTTGGTGGTTGCTTAAAATTGTTTTGCCCCTCTTTGGTTCATGATTATAGTGAAAGAAAGTACAAATAAACAAAGAAAAAGAAAAACAAATTTAGAATAAAATAAATTTAAAACCTCAAAAAAAGAGAAGTACAGCACAGAAAAAGGGTGAGGAGTTTGAAATACTACTTGTATTGGAAAGAGAGATTCTTTAATTGAGAAAGATAAGAAATAAATGAAAAGAACTTGACTTTTTAGTTTTCACTCTCCCTAGAAAACCCAATGGCCTTCTGCTAATTCTTCTTTGTATACATATATGTGTGTGTATAAATATATACACACATACATATACACTTGTACGTCCCATTCCTTCCCATTTTCCAAACCATACATCCTCCTATTGTTCTCTTGTCATCTCAGCCAACAAATTACTATACAGATAGTTGCAAGCATGTCCGTCTCTTGTCAGGTACCATATTTTCAATCTTGAGTGTGTATTTAATTTTTGTTTGCTCTCCTAGGCTCATCTAGTCAAACCCTTATTTATCTTCTTCATCTTCATATATCATACAATTTATGGACAACATAATCCAAAGGTTGGTAAATAAAACAATAAAATTTTCTGCTTACAAATTTTTTTTCTTTTTCTTTTCTTTTCTTATACTATAATTTGTCTTACCCAATAGCCTTAAGTTTCTTGGTGTATAATGCATAAATAATAGGTGTCAAGCTCCAAATGCCATTGGGAGTAGAAAATTTGTAAAGGAGAAAAAAAATTACACAAAATTTTCTTTTTATCTTAGGCTCGTTTGTTTCAACAAATATATATATATATATATATATATATATATATATATATATATATATTATTTTTCAGTGTTTGGCAAAGGTCTAGGTAGAGATCGAGTCCATCTGGTTGGGGCATATAAAATAGCCTTCGTAAATATTTTTCGACTCCCAAACACCAGACAACGCATAAAAAATATTTTAGGCTTTGAGCTCTAATGTAAAACTGAATCAATGTCGTGGTTACTTTTTATTGTAAAATTCCTTTTCAATGTCCTTGAATAATTACTTCTGTTAGTGACTAAACCTATATTTGATAGGCTATTTGTTCTTAAACAGTTACATCAAGTTTTTTTATTTTATAAAGAAACATTATTTTAAAAAGGTTTGATTATATATTGTAGCATTTGAGTGATAATAACATCTAATTTGATGTATTGTCAATCTTTTCATAAAGAAATATTATTGATACTTTAGAATTGATGGAGGGTGTATTTCCTAGAATATAAGTTGAATTTTGTCAACATACCTAATTCTACATGGTCATCTATTTTTTTAAATAAAAAAAAAAAAATCAAAGCAATGGCAAATGAAGCTTCACAAAGCCTAAGTCTGAAGGTCCTTGTTGATGAAGAGAAGAACCTAGTTGTTTTTGCCGAGTCCGATAACGATTTCGTGGATGTTCTCTTCAGCTTCATGACCATGCCTATTGGAAACATTATTAGACTCACCCATGAACAAGCATTGAAATGGGAGGTTGGCTGCCTGAACAACATATATAAAAGTATTAAGAATCTTGACAATGAACTTCTGCAAAGTGTGAAGTGCAAGGATTTCTTACTATGTCCTCGGAGTGCTGCTGAAATTTACTGCAGAAACCTTAAGATGAATTTTCTTATAACTACTACTGTAACGATCCCAAAACTGATATTTTTTTAAACAAAAAAAAAAAATCGGAATGACCTCCCCTAAAAATAGGCCTATCACAACCTGTTTAAATTCATTTTTAACCTATCATGGCTCAAATTCCGAATTCACGGCAATAGTAGATGATAATACACAATCAAATGACCTCAATAATACTTCAAACTAGTATTACTCTCCCCATTCATCAATAAGGTTTACATGTTATCAAATTCACATCCAAAATATCATCTAATAACATAATTATATTACCTAACCATGGTTTTGAAAAATAAATACACATAACTACACTTTTGGGGCCTTACAAAAATGGGAGATATACAAAAGATACAAAATGAGCTCCAAGTCATTCTTAAGCTTGTGGAAGATCGGCATCCACTACCTCCTTACCGGTTCCTGGAAAATGTTAAATAAAATGGGGTGAGCATAAAGCTCAGTATAGAGTGCCTAAGACGCACCTCTTGTAGCCCCGTGAATCCAAACAAAGCATAGGCCAATAGGAAGAGGGGTCATGCAAAATGAGGGAAACACATATTAAATTCCAATTCCAAACAATCATATGTAAAATGCCATGAATGCTATGATATGCGTGTCACTCCCCATTTCTCAGAAAACAACCATACTTTTCAAACTGTTAATATAACCCGCCCTTTGGTGACCCCGCAGCGACACGAGAGGAGGATTGGCTAGTGTCCTTGACCCTTGGTAACCCCGCGGCGTCATTATGGGGCCCAGCTAGCTCAATCACGCTAGGGCGACTCCCTAGTCCCCTCTAGGCTATATTAACCTCCGGCCCTTTGGTACTCCCGCGGCGACCGGGTTTCTAAAAAAAAAACTTTTTCAACAAAGCTTTCCCGAAAATCCCCATTCTTTCATTTTTCAAAAGTCATTTCCATACGTGCAATCCCCAATGATGAATTCATGAATGCCACATACTTTCAATGTTGTAATATAAGGGATTTCTAACATTTGTCATGCCGTGACAATATCATAAAATGGGGAATTTAATACTACAATTTACAACATATGCTCACAACAATCAATTAGATATTTAGCATTATAACAAGCATGATAAATCAACTACTTATCACAATTTCCATACAATCCAACAAATACACATAGATACATGTTTCACATACACAATTAAATCATTTAAGGAGTAATCCATCTAAACTAAGCATGCTTATCACATAAGTCAACAAACACACATATATAAAATCTTTATATGCACCATTAAATCATTTTTAAAGCAATCAACCTTAAATCAAGCATGTTTGGCCAAAATTCTAGAGGAATAACTCACTAAGGTACAAGAAAAGTGTGAATTAGACACCTTTACCTCTAATTGAGCAAAAACCCCAATTTTCTTCACAAACCCTAAAAATGGGTCCTAAGATTCGAAGTTCAAAAGGTGCACCAAATCTGGAATTGTTGGTATGTATGCGTAGAGCTCGACACAAGCTTCGTTTTGCCTTAAACGGCACCTCAATCCGACAAAAGGTGGAGGAGTAATCTAAGAATAAAGTTTGAGTTCAAAAAGAAAAAGAAAAAAAACAAGAAACAGAGACAGAAGGAAGGGCCAGCGGCAGAGAAGAAAAATGGAGACCAATTGTGGTCTCAAACCCTTTTTGGGTGTGGTGGTGGGTCCCACCAAAATTTTAATTTACTTTCTCTTTTTTTTTTACTCAATGTACATCACACACACAGACATATATATATATATATATATATAAAGGCACAGACATTACAACTACTACTACTAATGAGTACTATGCCTGCAGCTCTAGACATCGATGCACTTTGTTTCCTTACCAAACATTTCGTTGCCATTGTGGTAGAAACATTAATCAGACGGTGAAGCAGAAAAATCCCATCTCCGTTCCTCCAGTTAGAGGGGTTTTTGTGGAACCTACCTCGCGTTTTATGATAACTGATGACTTCCATGTACTGCCAATGTCCACTATGACTTGCTTAACCCTGCTTAAAGAGCTTGGAGCTGTGGATGGAAGTACAATAAAAGAGAGGTGTATAAACATGGGAAAGGAAGAGGTAACTAACCAGTTTGTTATTTTTTTTTTTTTTATTTCTCTACAAGTAAATTAACAAAAATGGATGGTCTTAATTCTCTCAGGTTCTGAAGTTGGTCATGTGTTCATTAACATCTATGGCACCTTTTTCGGAGACTCTTGGAATCTTCAGTCAATAAAACCAGTTTTGCCACAAGCCGTGGAGAATTCTGTCCAAGAAGCACAAATGAATCTCAAAGGTCCATGGACACGAGAAGAAAAAAAGCAAAGATAGGTTTGAAGCTAATCGTCAACAAGTCTACCAATAGAGTGTTGTATGGTGAAGCTAGGGAAGATTTTGTTGATCTCATCAGCAGTTTTCTCCCCATTCCACTTGGTTATCTCTTTAAGGAATTTCCATGTTTTTCGTTGAGGGGAAGCTTGGCTAATGTTTACAAGAGCATACAGGATCTTGATGTTGATTTCCTGGAATCCAAGGACATGAAGTCGACTTTAGTCAATCCAAAGCTGGCCCTGGAATAGCTTGTGATCAGCATCTTATTCCGATGGAGGAAGCTTTACATCCGTCATATTTAACAGTTGATTTTCTTTTTGGAACAGAGCATAATAATTCTAAAGAAGTTCTTATTGGCAGGAGGTTCATGAAAATACCATCCATGTTCATGGCGACAGACGATTTGACCATCACACCTCTATCTTCAATCTCAGGCTTATCCCTTATCAACAAACTGAACATACCAATCAGTGACATTGTAGAATGAGAAGTGACTGTTGTTGAGGAAGAGGTAATTAAATTAACTCCTATATATGGACGGACCTATTGTTTCTTTTATATTGGTCTTTTGTTTCAACTCTTGGTTTGTTCTACCCATCTGTCTGCCTCTCCACATGCAAGATCAAATCACGCGTGAGGGATGCAGGAATATGTTTAGAAGTATTGGCCTTTTTTTTTTCATAATTGTTTTTATAGTAACTCCTTGTTGAAAATTTATATATACATATATTTCTTTTGCAGGCTTTGTGTCTATTAGAGGCTGCTTTGGTATCAAGTTCTGCTCTGACTTATGTTTGTTGGAAATAGTGGTCTAGTTACACACACAACACTATACTATTTGGAAGAGAATAGAAATGGGGGAAAATACTTCTTATTTCACTTGTTCTATTATTTGACTAGAGTACATGAATATATAGGCCTCACATATGTATGTGTAACCATTACATTTAAATGTCCATAACTCTCATATCTCCCACTAACATAATCTTCAATATGCATAACTGCCACTAACATAGTATTTGTTAGGCTTAACTCTCATGACTCTTTATTTTACATAACCTTAACTCCCACTAAGACAATTTACTACCCACTAACATGCTAAATTAATACATGCATCATGGATACAAAAATACTTGAAAATACTAAATACTAAAATCAAGTTTATTTTCAACAATGTTTTCCTACGAAAGGATCCAAAACAAGAACCACAAGGTAATATCTGTCATCGATCTCAACAGAAATGCAGCAGTTTCTGCTGTTATAAGGGGAGTTGCAACTGGTGGCAGCTCAGCTCGATCACCCTTACTGTGCTGTGCTGAATCCGATATTTATTTTCCTCAACAGGAATGCAGTTATAACGTAACTTCAATTTTTTTTTGGAGTTGTCTTTTCTTGTGTTCAAAGCAAAGGGGTGATTTTGCTTTTATGTTACGTTTTGGACTTGTTAACCTACCCATTTGGATTGTAACTTGCTCTAGCCTTATTTCTGTTTAATTATTCTTATGATGTTGTTGTACCTTATATGCTTTTCGTGCTAGTGGCTTTTGAGCTTTGGTCATCTAATTTTGTTTCCTACTTAATTGTTTCTTGCAGCTTGAGTCCACCAGTTTCCATAGATTGAAGGTCTAATTTTGTTTTCTACTTAATTGTGTTGCTGCCTGCATGGACAAAGAGAATGAAAGGCATTAAAGCAAAGACAACAGAAGCAGCAACGGATGGGAACACCGTTGCTCAAGTTTATTCTTCTTCTTCAAATATCTTTCAGGAATCTGGCAATGAATGTTCTTTTTGTTTTCTTCTTCAGCGGCTAATTCAGAAGCTAGTAATGATTTAGTTATTTTTATTTATATTAACTATTGCTGTCTTTGTGTTTTTTAATTGCATTAGTTAAAAATCTCAAAGCAAGGTGTAGTTTTGCTTTTATGTTAGATTTTGGAACTGTGAAGCTTATATGTGCTAGTTTTTAGTTGAAATGTAAGATATCTTGGTGGTTGTAGTCTTTTTGTTTATGAGCACAAGTTAATATAGTACCATCAGGATTAATTATGGTTCCCGAGTCTCTATATTCTCCACATTCCCTACAGAAAACAGACTGACAGACAATCCACCTAGCCAATTTCCCAAACAACATATACATACACACATATATATACACAGAAGTGCAGTATCACAGATTTGAAACATGCTGCTGTAGGGAACAGACATATTGTCGACAAGCGCGGGAATAACCACAGCAACAGCAGTGGTAAGAGATCTCGAACAATCATCACCAACTTCCCATTAGCATCCTTATTTTCATCTTCCCATGGAACACAGCAAATCTAGAAATTAAATGACTGAACATTTCCTACTGTTACAAACTTACAACCCCAGGGGGTTGCCTCCGGTGATAAAGCTCTAGGACTTAGTGCATCATAAAATCTTAATCAATAAAACTTTTATTACTACCTTCTAAAAAATGTGAAATAAAAAAAATAATTACCCAGTAGAAATTATAAAATAAAAAGATGCGAAATAAGAAAAGTTGAAACCAAAAGCTTCTTGCAAAGTCCACTCTACAAACTTTATGAAAATTCCTCTTCCATCTCTCCCTCTCCAAAATATTTATTTGGAAATTGAATCTTGTATGACTTAAACAGTTGGTATAGAAGTCGGGCATTACTCACTGACTTAGTTGATAGTAAGTCTAACTTTCCAAGCGGATGTGTTTGTGTTCTCATTACTATTTTTAGAACATGCATGAGGGCTATAAGTGTGATTTTGTTATATGAATAGAATAGTGACTTTTCAAACTTATGTAATAACTTATCATAAAAATGTAAAATATAAGGATATTGAGTTCTTATAACACATAGGAAGGGTAACTTGGTCATTTTATGAATTTTCATTGATGACAATGGATGTCGTTGAGCTCACACACCAAATATCAGGGAGGTTTAAGTAATAAAGGGCAAATGTTCTACTTGTGTGTAATTTATTTACACCTCAGAGGAGGTCCATGTAATTTACGCATAATTAAATTTAGATTCTCCTTTTCCTTTTCCACAATTTTCTCGATAACCAAACAGTTTATTTGAAGAAAGGTTAGATTCTTGAGAATGTTCGGTACTCACTGAATCTGTGTCATGATTCGAATACATATTACAATTGGTGCTGGATATCCGAACCTTCTGTTACATTTTGAAGAAGAAGTGAAGCAAGAAGGATAGAAAGATTTTTAGAAAAAAATAATTTTATGGGCCGTAAAATTACATTTTCTTCGAATACATTTTCTATAGATATATTCATAAATATATAAACAATTTAATGGGTCCAGAGGGCATGACCCCTGGGCCCATGCCGATTCCATCTAATTACTTAACATTTTACAATGATACTTAATATAAGATGTGTGAGTTATTTTCTGAGTGACAAAAAATTTAATATAAAGGACGTTGTCACTTATGCGATGTTTTTCAATCATTGGATTGAGAAAATACATTTGTTTTTCTATTGTTGGATTGAAAAAATGCATGGGAATGCCACTCACCAGCATTTTCATTTTCATGGTGCTGTGTTTTACAAGGGTGTTAGTACTCATATGTATAGATGTCTCTAAAATGTGTAAATACATTTTGAAAATCGTGAATACAAAGAATAAGTAAAACGGAGGCGGGGACCTAACTAGCATTACAGTCTCTTGGGACTACATAGCAACACCAAATGGGATTAAAAGCTTTTGCAGCTTTGCTCATGCAGTCCGTCCTTATTCACAAGTTCCATGCAGTGTTCAAAGAAATTTGAAGTCCTTAGCACTCAAGAAACCACATTTGTACATCTAAATCCAATAGAAAAGTACCAATTTTGTGCACTGACCATGTGTTGAAAATAAACTTGATTTAAGAATTTTAGTTGTAATTTGTATTTTCATGTATTTGGTATACATGATGCATGTGTGTATTTCATGTTAGTGGGGTAGTAAATGGTCTTGATGAAGAAAGTTATGTAAGACTAAGAGGTATATCAATTAAGTCTCCTAACTACTATGTTAGTAGGAGTTTGTATTTGTGTTAGTGGAAGACATGAGAGTTAAGTCTACTAAATACTATGTTAGTGGGATTAGTGTAACGACCCTAAACTGGTACGATTTAAAAAAAAAAAAAAATTTGACATGACCTCCCCTAAAAAGGGGACTACAACCACTTACTCAAATAATAAATAAAAAAACGCAATGGCCCTTCCTAGCCTTTCAAAACACCTCCAACCTATCCTAACACATAATACAATTAACATACTCCAACATCCCATCTATCTGTTCATTATACCTCAACATGGCTCATCTCATGGTGGAACATCTACATACCATTTAATCCAAATTATCATAATTACAGTCCCAAAATATAGTTACAATAACAAGAGTTCACAATTCTCCATACCAAATATAAC